GCTGAGCCAGCTTCAACTAGCTCCATCGATGTCTCGTGCGCAGCTACTAATTCCCCAAAATCTAACCCGGAGCTCACTAATTCGTCGTATTTTCCTGATTGCACGATCATACCATCTCGCATAACCTGTAAAATGAAACCACTCATTAGCAAATTCCTAAATCCTCAACTCAAATAAGTTTTAATATTTGTTCCTTCAAATTGTACCAAGATGCGATCAACGTTGTGAAGGAAGTCTACTTGATGAGTAACTAGCAAGATAGTCTTTCCTTTTAAGGCTCCCCTTACACATTTCTGCAGAAACACAATCACCAAGAAAGAAGATTAAGTTTTATGCTTTTCTTTTTTAATGAATTTAACTGATAGATTAAGTGTTCACCTTGAATATGTCTGAACCGGTATGAGCATCCACGGCACTAAAGACATCATCGAGTAAATACACATCGGATTCCTGATAAACGGCTCGCGCAAGTTGGATCCTCTGCTTCTGACCTCCACTAAGGTTAATTCCGCGTTCCCCAATCTCAGTCTGGTCCCCAAACTCCATAATCTGCATATCTTTTTCTAAACAACAAACCTTGAGAACTTCATTGTACTTGCCTCTATCCATAGGAAGACCAAACAAGATATTGTCTTGAACCGTCCCATTCTGAATCCACGAAGTTTGTGCTACATAAGCCGTTGTCCCACAAACACGAACATTGCCAGAAAGCTTGTGCATTTCGCCAAGAACTGAAGCTAACAATGAAGACTTTCCTGAACCAACAGTCCCTACAATCGCAGCAAGTTCTCCTTTTTTAACCTCAAAGTTTATGTTCTCAATTGCAGGCACGTCGTCCTCATCATCCCAACTAAAGCTTCCATCTTTGATCTCCACAGCGACATTCCCATCACACCCTTGACTCCTTTCCACAGTCTCTTCAGACAGCTCTCTGCTCATCATATAAGCGTCGAGTCTTCCAAGAGAGATCATAGCCTGCGAAAGAGAGATCATAGACTGCGGAAAAGTCCTGATCGGTTCTTGAAGAATCTTGAAAATCGTTGTTGTGGTAAACACCGTGCCTGCATCAAGCTTGACACCCAAGAAAACTGCGGTTGTGAAAGTGAGCGCAGAGATCAAGACCGGCGTGCTCCATAGCACAATGATGTTCCCAGCGATGGAGTAAAGAAACTTGGATAGCCAACCAAACTCCATGTCTCTAAACTTGAGAATCCTCTCGTTGAAATGGTCTTCCCAAGCTTGAAACTTGATAACTCTCATGTAATTAAGCATCTCATTAGTCGCTTTCATCCGTGAATCACGATTCATCATCAGGCTAAACTGAAACCTATTGTTTCGTTTCGTTCCCAAGAGAATGAACATGAAAATTCCGGTTAAACCAATGATAGTAGTCACTACAGAAGGTCCAAGAGTACCATAGAGAAGCACAATAGCCACAGTTACTTGCAAAGGCATGAGCCAAATTGCGTGGAGCTGAAGCATCATATCAGAGAGCTGCTGTGCATCAACGGCCATGTAGTTGACGATTTGACCAACGCCGTGATTCTGACGAGCCGAGCCGGTTAGCTTCAACCCTTTCTTGTAAAGAGCTGTTATGAGAGTGGATCTAATAAGCATCCCTAGCTTCTGCGAATTGAAATTGAACTGGTGAGTCGATAAGACCTCGACGAATTTGGCGACAAGGAGGATGAGAACGAGGTGGTAACCCTGTGACGGCGACGATCCTTTGCCGGAAGTGAAATCGACGAAGCTTTGGATGAGAACCGGACCGACGTAGATGACACTGAGACGGAGGATGGCGAGAACCGCCGTGAAAGCGATCTCCTTCCAGAAACATCGGATGAGAGTCGTGCGGACGGGGTTTCTCGAGTTCTCCTGTGGTTTGGGCCATTTTGATTCGAAGAGAGTGGCGAGCTTCTCTGCTCTGTGCTCCGGTGACAGAGTCGGAACTTGGTCGAGATTTAACGGAGATTTGTAGCCTTTTCTTAGTAACGGATTCATCCATAACCAGAACGTTTTCGATACGAACGATGCTGATGCAAATAATGAAACGTTTTCCAATACGACGTCGTTTGATTTCGCCGGAACCGTGGCACTACTGGTTACTACTACTAGTCCCGTGGATCCTTTGATGGAGACGAGGAGAAGAACGGCGGTTAAAGGGAAGGAGATAAACGAGGCGACGTCGTCTGCTCTTAGACTCGCGGCGGCGGAATCGCCGGAGATGAGACGGAGAATACCGGAGACGGTGAAGAGAGTTGTGGCGGCGAAATTGCAAACCCAGTAGATTCGTAACGATAAAGGATGAGTCGAAGATGCGAATCTTTTTTGGTGAAGAACCAAAACGGCGATGACGACGTTAGTAACGGCGTGGAGTAACCAAAACAGAGCATAAACGGGCTTCAAGTTGGCCCGAGTGGTGAAATCCAAAACGCAGAGCACGAGAGAGCAAAACGACAGGAGTATTGTTACAAAGGTTGTCGTTTTGAACAACCCGGTTGTTCTGGTTCGTGTTCTTCTTCCGATTAGAGGTTTTGAGATGATGTCAGCGTCACCGTTGTTGATTCTTGAAGAAGAAGAAGAGCAGAGTTTTTGGATAGCGAAGAAGACAAGGATGAGGAGGAAGAGAAGATCGACGGTGGAGGAGAGAAGCCGCTGAGGACAAGGAGAGAGTAAGATGAATCTTAACCATTGGATTAGAGATGGAAGAGACGAAGATGGCTTTACAACTGCTGATGAAGAACATGAGAGATCGGAGACCCAAGAAGAAGAAAGCCACCGCATCGTCGTCTCTCTCGGAAGATAAACTTCAAGAAGATCTCTAAATTTATTATTAATGACGACGATGTATGTTGTCAACTTATAAATGTGTTGTGATGCAAGAAAAAGAAGAAAAACATAATTATACTACTACTACTACTGTGTTTATTTTAACAAGCATCAAATAAATTTATAATCGTTGGAAAATATTTGTAGCAAATAAAGGCTGCTGTGTGTTATACATAATGCTGTTTCAATCTAATTAATTAATTAAATATAGTAACGAATAGAGGAGAAAGAAGAAGACAAGAGTCGTACTAGACTACTAGTTAGTGTGTGACTCAAAGTGAGAGTAACTAAATTAGTAATATTTTTTAATGATATTATTATTATTAAGATTCACTGAGTACTGTATGAGCGAGCAGGGACACGTGTGAAGAGATGAGTTATAAAATTGGGTGGAGACAAACGAATCATTATTGATTTGGGGGAGTTTGAAAAATGGATGTCACTTTCTAAACAAATTATTTAAGTACGTTTAGTGGAGAGATCTCTCCCTACCTTGGTTTAGAATTCGTATATCCCCCCTTGGACCATGTGAGTCATGTGACGTTTGTTTCATCCTTTTGTTTTTTCTTTTTGGTTATGGAAAATGACAATCGAATGATAAAGAAATAGCACTAAACGTCTTAAACCTAACCAAGAAAACAAAAAAACGATTAGGGAAGTTTTGATGGTTATATACTTATATCAATATATAGTAAAACCTCTATAAATTAATACTCGATAAATTAATAATCTTTATAAATTAATAAATTTATCCGGTCCTAAGTTGGGACCAGTGTAATTTTAGACATATTTCGATAAAATAATAAGATAATAATTTTTTTGAAATTTTTTTGTAAATATATGGTCCCAATAATATTATAAATTAGTAATTAGGTAAAATTTTTAAAATATATGTATATATAGACACATTAGTTTTTGTTAGAGTTTATTTCTAATATTTTACTATATTAAAAATTGTTAGCATTCTCTTTCAAGACATAATAATTATTATTTTCTTTGTAATTGATTATATAAAATACTAATTACCATGATTAAATCTCATTTTTAAATATTTTTCTGAAAAAACTTTCAAATTAAGAAAATCTCTTTATAAATTAATAATTATTAATTTATCGATAAATTAATAGCTTTATAAATTAATAGATTTTCATGGTCTCAGCATTATTAATGTATAGAGGTTTTACTGTATAAAGAGTCAACATAAAATTCAAAATAACATTACTTATTGTTTCCGTTGTTCGAATTAGGTAAGCGTATAAAGAATATGGCACGTCATGTTCGTTCATGCGTGACCCTGATCACGAATAAAATCAATACTCATATGCCATTGGGAGGAAACGCCATATTCTTGGATATATAACATATATGCCTACTCATGGAAACGCACATAGATTCTCGTCTACCCCACTGTCTTTTTCTTTCTATTTTATTCTGGAAAAGACTAAATTAACAAGAGCATATTCATTATTATTATATACATAAACCCTCTATTTTATTCAACACATAATAATGTATGTAAAGTAAACTCTGGATATTTATTGATCATCATTTTGGGTCACATTATATGTCCTTAGCTTTTTGTATATCCTTTGTCCTTTCTATATATGAATCAAAAGTTAAAAAACAGAACTTATGAGATTGAGAGCAAATCTTTCGCCAGCTGACTCCTCTAACTATATGGGTTGTAACGGGGATTTTTAATTGTTTCTTCTTTATGAAGGTCATCCAGGGAAATATATATATTAGGCTATTTAGAAGAGCAACGTTTACGAGTTTACGTTTTAATTACAAAAAACTTAGACCATTCATCAAACAATTTTTGTTATCTTTGTTTTATTATTGTCAAAAGCACCTTTTCCGTTAAATATCAACGCACCCGACATTGCATAGTGCATGGCTGGACCCGTTTTGCCGTCACGTCGTCTCTTTTCTGTCTACGTACTCTCCATTTTCACAAAAACCTTAAAGACTTGTGTTTTTTTCCCCTCAAAAAAGAATCTTTTTGTTTTCCACATCCTAAAAAACAAAGACAAAAGCAAAGGATTGGGCTCTACTACAATGAACTAGGCATGCTCGATCAATATCAGATAATGAACAAGTCCCATGGCCATATGTATATAGTCCATATACTGTATGTATTAATATTAAATTTGGTTTCTTTTGTTTTTGATATGGAATTGCTAACATAGGACAGGATTTGCATGTACCAGAATTGTCATTAAAATATTGATCGGGAAAGTGTGACAATTACATTATTCGTATAGTTACATAGTTATATGGTTACTGATTTAGGTTTGAATTCCGAATCCGAAGGGGAAGAGAGGATCGTAGTTCTTGTCGCCAACGTTCATCGGAAGTTGATCAACACTCCTCATCCACGTGCGAGGCAGAGTACCAGTAAAGGGATGATCACCAAACAAGACATCAGCGACACCTTGTCCTTCCGTTCCGGGTAGCCATGCGACTGCAAGAGCATCGATCATGTCCATGTAAGGCTCGATCACGAGCGGACGTCCTGTGACTAGGACCACCATACACTTCATCCCACTACCACACGTGTGCTTGAGCGTGTCTGGGCCTGGTCCATATAGACCGAGCGTTTTGCTGTCCCCGTTCGACTCTGCGTAAGGAAGTTCTCCCACGACCACAATTGTGTATGCAGCATCCGCGTGAAGCTTCGATGTATCTTGGTTTGCTTCCTCCACGTAGACAACTTCAGTGGTGGGATCTACTGTTCTCTGGATGGCTTCCAATATTGTAGTTCCTGTATGTACATATTGTTGGAAACATTTTAGAATGAACTGAATGTCTCGTCTGTACGTATATATAGAGACTCTATATTAAGCCCTCATATTATATAAATACATCTCTGATATATATTAAGAAATGTATATTACCTCTCGTTTTACCGGTAGGAGAGCCCGTTCTTTGGTTCATGGGGATAACTTCACCAGTTCCGTTGAATCCTTGCCAAGTGAGAGTAAAGCCACCACATTGCCATCCCATGTTCTTAGCGTGTAGTCCCGCGACAACAATCTTCTTCACCTTCTTCTGGAGCGGCACAACTTTATCGGCGTTTGGCTTCCCGTTCTTTAGAAGCACCATTGATTTCCTCACCGCCTCTCTCGCAACTTCCCGATGAGCCTTCAACATCGTATTAAATTTTCAATAATATAAGACTAATTAACTATATAGTTTGATGTTGTATCTGCATGCATGATAGATTATTGATAGTTTTTTTTGTAGTAATATAATCTTTGTTCTTGGACTTTAATTATAAGACGACAACGATTTAGCTTTTATTGTATACCTAATTTTATTATTTCACATGGTCCATTAATTTAGATAAATTTTCCCTTGACAGATTTTAAGATGCTTAATTAAATAAGGTGTCTTTAGTAAACACTTATGTATATAAACACAAAATCGTGGATTTACCTCAGACCCAAACTCTGCCGCGACATTTTCCACTGCTGGAAACGGATTCTCAAAGAGACCGATAGAGAATTTGACTCTCAAGACCCTTCGAACAGCATCGTCGATACGGCTCATAGGGATGTATCCTCCATTCACTAATTTTGTCAATACCTCCAAGTACTCTGGATACTCCCATGGAACCATAACCTACAGAACAAGATTCCACATTTTAAATCCTATCGATTAACATATCAGACATCCATTTCTTGGTTGAAATTATGGAAACAAAAGTAAAAAAAAAAAAAACCCAACCATATCAATGCCTGCATTAATGGAAGCTTCAACGGAGTAAGTGTAGTTTGATCTATGTGGCGTTGTGATCCTATCAATTCCCATCCAATCAGAGATAACAAAGCCTTGGAATTTGAGAGTGTTCTTGAGGTAATCAGTGATCAATGCGCGGTTTGCATGCATCTTAACACCGTTAATACTAGAGTAAGAAGCCATGATCGATGAGATCCCTTTCTTGACCGCTATCTCAAATGGAGGCATATGGATACCAAAGATAGTAGCATTATCACCCACAGTGTTGTCCTCATTGATTCCATTTACTGTCCCTCCGTCCCCAACAAAATGCTTGGCAACCCCAGCCACATTGATCCTAACCGCGTAGAGGCATGTTTTCACATTAGTCAACTAGTGATCAAGATCAATAAAAATTTAGATACAAATTAAACAAGCTAGTATATAGTTCTTGGTTAATTAATTACTTTTGATCAGCAATGTAAGGAGCATTTCCTTGTAATCCATCGATGATACCCTCGGTCATCATATTCACAACCTTAGTGTCTTCACTGTAGCTCTCGTAACACCTTCCCCATCTAGGATCTCTGCAAACCTGTTCATCCAATTTCTCAATCCAGTTTAGAAAAGGTTTATATTATCTCTATATTTATGTTGATCGATGGAAATGTATTTGTGTGTGTGTGTGTAGACAGAGTATATTAATTACCGCAACACAAGGTGCAAAAGCTTGAGCAACTCCTGTTGCCTTTACTTCGAGGGCGGTTATAGCTCCGATCCTTTTAACAAGTTGAGGATCCCTACAAGAAACGAACCACTAGATCTATCAAATACGTTTTAACTAACTTTTATATTGGGGATTTTTTTTAAAAAGAAAACTAAAATGCATACAACATTTCGCCCAAAAGCTCTGTATTAAATGAATCATTTAAAGTATTAATATGTACCTAGTGGCACCAAGACCGATGTTGTGGGGGAAAATGGTTGCATTAATAAAAGTGCTGTGACCATGAACCGCATCAATAGAGTAAAGCGCAGGGATTCCGAGCCTCGTCGAAAGACACAATTTCTGGATATCGTTTACAAGTTGTAAACGCGATCCTATGTCTGCTCCGGTATCGAACGGGTTGCTCAAGTAGTTTCCTGTAACCTCGTACGTGCACCAATTCAATTATTAGTTCATCATTCTAAGTTTTCGATATAAGCAAAATAAACGTACGTAAAAATATTTTCCTAGCTTACCGATCAGGTACTTTGTGAAGATTTCGTGGCCATTCTTCATATATTTCTCACGTATCGTGTAGTTGAATCGATCAACTTGACACATTTGACCAAGTTTTTCCGGTAACGTCATTCGTGCCAACAAGTCTTCCACTCTCTCTTCCACCGCCGCGTTAGGATCTTTGTACTTAATGTAGCCTCGGTTGGCTGCGGTGGCGCCTCCATAACGGCTGACGAACAATATAACAATCACCGCCGAGAAGAAAAAACTCCTGACGCCGTACATTGTCGCGCCTCCGCTAATGGAGACCCTCCCTGGATTCAGAGAGAATTCAGAATATAGATTAAAAAGATATACTATTATAATGATCTTTCTAAATCCTGAATTGAAAAGTAAACAAGAAGGGAACATTTATAGTAGCGTATTTTTTTGTTTTCTATTAAAAAAAAAAGAGAGAGGTTCCGTTAATTAATCCCGAACGGTTAAAATATTTGGCTGGTGCTCTAAATTTACAGCACCGAACAAAACGAAAACATATATAATTTAATTTTAAATTTCGGACACTTGTGTGAACTCAAAACCTTCTGTTTCCTGTTCTATCTCTCCCCTCCATCAACGACCTAACCGTTTTCCTGTTAGTAGAAGAAACTAGAAACAAAGAAAAACAACATAGATACCACGTAATGTTAGGCCGAGAATTATAATTGGGCTATATATGGGTTTTGTATTAGTAAGGCCCAATTAGTTTTCTTTTAACACTCGGCCCAATTAGTATAAAAGCGGAATAATAGAAAGAATTTCAAAAGAGTGTGTGTGTTCGTCTACACTACTAGTGTGGCTGCGAAGATAGATCCGCACCAGGTTAATATATATATTTACGCGTTCCAGACAGGCAGGCATGTTCTGTTCTGTCTGACATTTCAATTTTCAAATATATATTTATTTCAAAATTTTATTAAATAAAAAGTACTAAAATAATCAATATATTATATATGTACTTGTTTAATCCAATTTTTAAATCTTCATTAAGTGTTTTCTTCTTCCTTTTTTTTCTTTTTTTCTTGAAGAGCTTTTAAAAAGGAAAAAAAAAGCTTTTAAAAGGGAAAAAGATCTCATGGTTTAATCCTTTCCATCAACGCGTAGTAATCTTGTCGTCTGTCATTTACAAATTACAAACACCTTTATATAGATTTCCCTCTGATTTCTCTCTGTTTTTAAGATTTCGTCTTTGTGTCTGAATCGAGACCAGATCTGTTGAAGAAGAAGAAGAAATGTTAGAGAAGTGTTTAGGAGCGTATCGGTTTCGGAGATTACAGAGAATCATGCGCCAAGGTAAAGTGACGATTCTTTGCCTCGTTCTCACCGTCATCGTCTTGCGTGGCACTATCGGAGCCGGTAAGTTCGGTACGCCGGAGAAAGACATCGAAGAGATCCGTGAGCATTTCTTCTACACGCGTAAACGCGGCGAGCCTCACCGTGTCCTCGTCGAGGTGTCTTCCAAAACGTCGTCGTCCAAAGACGGGGATGGGAATGGTAACAGCTACGAGACCTTCGACGTGAACAAGCTATTCGTTGACGAAGAAGAAGGAGATGGAGACAAAACATCTCAAGACCGAAGGACTAATAAACCGTATTCTCTTGGTCCAAAGATCTCTGACTGGGATGAGCAGAGGCTTGATTGGCTCGAACAGAACCCTAATTTCCCTAATTTCGTGGCGCCAAACAAGCCTAGGGTTCTTCTTGTCACTGGTTCAGCTCCCAAGCCGTGTGAGAATCCCGTGGGAGACCATTACCTATTGAAGTCGATTAAGAACAAAATCGATTACTGTAGGATACACGGAATCGAGATCTTCTACAACATGGCGCTGCTGGATGCTGAGATGGCTGGGTTCTGGGCTAAGCTTCCGTTGATCAGGAAATTACTCTTGTCTCATCCCGAGATCGAGTTTCTATGGTGGATGGACAGTGATGCGATGTTCACGGACATGGTGTTCGAGCTTCCATGGGAGAGGTATAAAGATCACAATTTGGTGATGCACGGCTGGAACGAGATGGTTTATGACCAGAAGAACTGGATTGGTCTCAACACAGGAAGTTTCTTGCTTAGGAACTCACAGTGGTCGCTTGATCTTCTCGACGCTTGGGCTCCTATGGGACCTAAAGGGAAGATCCGAGAAGAAGCGGGTAAAATCTTGACCCGGGAGCTCAAAGACCGACCCGCTTTCGAAGCTGACGATCAGTCCGCGATGGTCTACCTTCTGGCGACGGAGAGGGAGAAATGGGGAGGCAAAGTGTACCTAGAGAGTGGTTATTACTTGCACGGTTATTGGGGGATTTTGGTGGACCGGTACGAGGAGATGATTGAGAATCATAAACCGGGTTTTGGAGACCATCGGTGGCCTCTCGTGACCCATTTCGTCGGGTGTAAACCGTGCGGTAAATTCGGAGATTATCCGGTGGAAAGGTGTCTGCGGCAGATGGACAGAGCGTTTAATTTCGGAGACAATCAGATTCTTGACATGTATGGTTTCACGCATAAGTCGCTTGGGAGCCGGCGCGTCAAACCCACGCGCAACCAGACTGATAGGCCGCTCGATGCCAAGGACGAGCTTGGGCTGCTTCATCCGCCGTTTAAAGCCGCCAAGTTTACTACTACTAGGACGACGTGAGGCTATAGTTCTTGTTTTTTTTGGCTTTAGGGAGACACATTTATTATTTTTAATCCCATTTTATTTGTTTGTAGTTTCTTTAGTTGATGAGATATATACTTAAATCACATTTGATCTCCCATTTATCAGATGCTGAATCGTGTAATGAGTTGTCCTCGTTAATTTCTTCATCATCACTCTGCGTAATGATCTTCTTGTAGACATTACATAATTGTATGTGTATATATATGCGTAAATTTTTGTAAGTTAAATGAATAATAGTCAGCAGGTCTGTGACTCGTGGCTTGTGGGTGCTACTTATAATTTGCCAGAGACTGACGTTCTGAAAATTTACAGATGTCGGTTACACGACTACTTTGGCTCTTGTAGATTTTTTTTTGTTGCTTATTAACGTTAGTAAGTTGAAAGCCGGACACGTTGTGTTGTAATGGGATGATATAGTTTTGCTTGAAGTGACACGTTTTGCTCTTTTGCTGCCTTGGTTTTGAGCTCCCCTTGATGTGGAGCGTACGGCGTGATTATTATTGGTTTTGTTCTTGTTGACAGACGCTTCAAATCACTTGAGATATATATATATATATATTTTTTTTTTTTTTTTGAAGTATTGCATTTTTTGTTTCTTTTTGACTTTGCAGTTCCTTTTATAATTAAGGAGGCCGAGGGTGGAGATTACATCACGTGTGTATAATCTATCTTAACACAACACCACCACCTCCTTTGTGGAATGCACGACGAGACGACAACTTTTTTATTATTATTTAAAATTCAAATATGAGTCATATTACACAATAGTTTATTATTGATCTGGTTTGCAAAAAGTATACGTACGTTGTTGATTACTTTCCTACTAATTAAGAAATTGAACGGAAACGAGAAAAGAAGAATTCTTACGTCTTGCGGCGTAACGCATACGCGTAATTACTTACATGTATCCTTCCTAATCGTCACTAGAAGAAGAAACTATTGATCACAGTTCACATCTTACTGAAATGTCGTGTTAGTCTTTTCTACTGTCCCATTCATTCCTTTTTTTGTCTCGAGCATAATTTGCCTTTTTATTTTATTTTATTAATTATAGATTAAACACAGATAGCAATAAGATACATGGAATAATTAGTAGTAGTAATCATCCGTATCACCTTAATGAGAATAATATTACAATCTTAATATATATATCAACTAAAACATTTAATTTTCATCTGAAGAGCATACAACGCCATCTCCATAAGACCCACCATCGAGAAACATCCTAGCGATTCTCCCGTTGGCACCACACGGCCAAAACCCACCGGGCCGATGCTCATCGCCGGTGCCGTACATAACCCTTAGGATCTCTTGCGGTGTCCGGTCATAAGAGAGAGAGTAAGGATCGGCGGAGAGGATGTTGCTGGTGGTGCGATTCTCCGCACCTAGCCACAGCGGCACGCACAGGCCTTCATCCTTTATCCCGCACATACCGAGCTCGTTACGGAGGTTAGATATCTCGTTGGTCAGCTCAGCCACCGTGACTCCCCCGTATTCCTCCACCATCTCGTACTGTCTCTCGTACAGCATCGTCCTTATCACTCCGTCTTGACCCGATTCCACCCCCAATAGACCCGCCACAAGCTGATATATATTTATAGGAATATCTTCATAATGATTACTAATTCCATCGCATGAATTGACATGCTAAGTGTAACTATCAAACTCACTTAGCTTGTCGAAATGTAAGTGTGTAACCAATTACAATGTGTATATATTACACGTATAATGTTGGAAATAACATGTATATATATTTGCTTAAAGAAAACATGTATATTTGTAGTAGAAATTTCTTTTATAAAGTTTAGTAATACTTTTTTTTCATTAGTTCTAAAAATTATATATAAAGCTATTAGAATTTAATCATAACTCATACGGTTTAGTAATATTTATAAGTTATATTATTTAGTCATATATAGTTGATTACCTGTTTGATATTGAAGTATACAAGGTAAGGGATGGTTCCGACGTAACCGGTAAGACCAACGTAAGGGATATAGTACGAAGCTAAGAGATAGTTGCGTGAGTTGGCATAAGGGTCGAACCGCGGGTTTGATCTCCGTCCAACCGCTCTGTCCATGAACTCTGCAAAGTTCTCTCTCGTCAGATTCAACAACGGACGCGGTATTCCTCCGGTCATATCTGCTATAGCCCTTCATTGATACCCAAAAAAAAAACTTAATTTTAAATTTTTTACGATCATGCATAGTAACAATCAAAGAAATTTGAATATATGGTCGTGAGTTACCTAAGATGACCAATTTCTTGATAACCAAACTCCTCGATGATTCGATTAGTTATAGGGTCAAGATTTGCTTTCTTTGCCCCTACGGGAGGTGGTCCACCTTGAGCAAGCGTCTCGTTAAACGCATCGAGTCCTTTTCCGGTAGACCCTTTTAAGAAGAACTCGGCCTCCATGAACTCCAAGTTCATTGCGAAATGGACTCGATCAACATCGCTCGCTGATATGTTCCCCGAGCAGCTACAATAGCTGGAGTTAACCAGACTTGCGTCTATTGCAATAAGCAAGACGAGAACGAGACAGAGTTTAAACATACTTTTCTTCCTTTCTTTAAATCTTTAATAATTTATGTCTCTCTATATCGTCTATACAAGAACTTAGCAATTTATATTGGGGTTGTACTTTTCTTTTCTTCAGTAATAATACTTTAAAAAAGTATTTAATAAATCATGTTGGTTAGAATTGAATTGTTGTTTAAGACCCTTACGTGAATACAAGTTCTTTTTTTGTTTTTGTTAATACGTGAACTCTAAGTTAATAGCTTATTTCAGTATCAATAATGGAATATTGACAAGTTTTTATAAATCACTGACTACCATATAACAATTGTCATTAGTAATGACTCATTACGTAAGGTAATTAACATGATATGCCTGAATGAATGGAATTTTATAGCATCATCACACGGTAAAATATCCACTTGTTTTATTATATATTTAGTTCTTTAATTTACTCTCAACCATCCAAGTAGCTAGCTAGGTGTTATGAAAGATAGGGCAAAAGATGAAAAAGACGTGGTAACTTAATAATGTGATTGGTGACTAAATGAAGATATCGATACGTGATAGTTAAACCGTAACAAAAGAATTATCCAAAAAAAAAAAAAAAGTTGAGATCATCGTTGCATGGTGAAGGAAATTACAACCATAGGTCAATAAAGTAAAAAGAAGGCGTGGTCATTTGTAAGTTGTAACTAACTCAAACCAAGATTATATATATTTCTTTATCTATCTAAGAAAAATTAGAGTTTTTTTTTCCATGAATACACAAATTTTCACTGAAAATTTTATTCCATGTTCTATAAACTGCAACATTATATATTATATTAGGAATATTATATCTATCTGATACTGAAGAGTTTAAACGTACGTAGATATGTGCAGTGCAACCCAAAAAAAAAAACAGTATAGTCGGCTCGGTGGGAAAGAAAATATTGGGCCTTTATTGGGTTCGTGAGCTAACAGCTCGGCGGGGGACTTAAGTTTAGTCAACAAAAGGCCCAATATCTGTACCACAAAAGTTTTTGAGATGTCCAAAATCAAAGGATGGAGGGTAAGAAGGAACCAACAACCGCCAGGATAAAAGTCTTCTTTAGTCATCAGTAAGCTGATTTGAATGAAAAGTAAACATAGGATTAAGTCTCACCTGCGCTAGGGACTTTCATTGAATAGATATAGTCCTGAAGACCTAACTCTTAGAAATGACCTTGGTAATTGGTTTGTTCCTATTCTGATAGGTGCACCTGACATGGCATTTCCACGATTAAATAATATTTCATTCTGGTTGTTGCCACCAAGTCTCTTGCTCCTATTAAGCTCAGCCGTTTTCGTTGTGGTGACAAGTGGAATCCTGGTCACAGATGTAAGGGCAGAGAATTCAAGTATATGGCTGTGGATGAAGGAGATGAGTTGGATGAGGCTGATGAAGCTGATTATTTAATAAACTTTTGCAGGCAGAGTAGTAGCGCATCTGGTGTAGTGGTATCATAGTACCCTCCCACGGTACTGACCAGGGTTCGATTCCCTGGATGCGCATCGTCTATCTATCTTTTTACTCTTTTTTGTCTTCACATTAAAACTCACTAATATACATAAGGAGAAGCAGAATATTTTGGTCGACTATATATGTTTTATTTTTAAAATATTAATAATATTAACTTACCAAAAGAAGAAACATTATATTTTTGTTGGAGAGGTATTTTATTTTCATGACGTGGCAACTTTCTTTCTCGTGCAAAAAGTGAAACAAAGACGTAACCATTGAAAACTCTCCCACCCATTTGATTTAGTACATCCGTTGTAATATCTCTAAAAGCATAAAAATATTCTCCAAATGTAAATTCTTGACTAAATTAGCATATATATTTTTGTTCAGCAACCCAAAAGGGAGAAAAAAATCTTAATCCACCAAATTAAAATGATTTTCCAAATTGGATTTTTGATCCATGTAGCCATGTAGGGTTGGGGAAATGTATGTCGGTCTGGTCACATCACAAGGATTACAAATAATATATTCTATAGTCTTCTTTCGCATTATATAGATTTGTTTCGCTTTTTACGAAGTGGAACAAGGAATTAGGAATTAGAAAAAGATGTGTCACTCGTTGCTTCTCCACACAAAAAACCCAGATCACTTATTTATTTATTTGCCTAGGATTTATTTTTAGTACTCTCTTAGAAAAAACCTTTCGAGGAAAAGTGGGGAGAATAAATAATAATGAAAAATTTCTCTCTATATTTCAAAATTTTGGTAATCGTTTCGGCAACGAGTTACATTGATGCCTTTACCAGAAACGAGTTTCCTGATGATTTCCTATTCGGAGCCGCCACTTCCGCTTATCAGGTTCCGACTCTGCTGCTTCTGTCTTCTTTTTTACTTTCAAATATTGTTTTGTCTCTCTATACAAATTATTAGAGCTTTTATATATATAAATATTCTTTGATGTTGGGACTTTAATTTGTGGAAAATTAGTGGGAAGGAGCTGTTGATGAAGATGGAAGAACTCCTAGCGTCTGGGATACTTATTCCCACTCTTGTAAGCTCTTCTTCTTCTTCTTCTCTCTTTACCTTCTTTTTCTTTTGTTTGTTTTTGATTTTTGTCTACAAACGTTTTAGATAGTAGAGATAATGGAGACATAGCATGTGATGGCTATCACAAATACAAGGTCTCTCTCTCTCCCCCTTTTGCTGTTTACTTTTCGAACAAGTTATAGTAAATCTCTGGCTCTGTTTTTCTTTCTCAAATTACATGCGTTACTGTGACTTTTGCAGGAAGATGTTAAGTTGATGGTAGAAATGGGTTTACAATCATTCAGATTCTCTATCTCCTGGTCAAGACTTTTACCTAGTAACGCCCTCTTCCTTGTTTCTTTCTTTGCAAGTAATCAGCGTTACTGTTACTGTTACTGTTTCTGATGTTCTCGTTAAACCCTTTTTCCCAGATGGAAGAGGACCCATTAACCCAAAAGGTCTTTTGTTTTACAAGAAGCTCATCAAAGAGCTACAAAATCATGGTGACTGTTTTTGTCTTCATACTTTCTTTTCCTTCTGTATTTAATACTTGATCCCAACTTACAAAGCCAACTCAATTTAGCTTCTAATGTAAATTTTGGCAAAAAATATTTAACAGGAATCGAACCACACGTTACACTTTACCACTATGATCTTCCTCAGTCTCTTGAAGATGAGTACGGAGGATGGCTCAACCGCAAAATCATGTAAAGTATCGAGGAAGACTCTGACATAACAAAGTTATACATATTAATATATATATATATGACTAGAATGTTGTTTAATTGTTATATTGCAGAGAAGACTTCACTGCTTTTGCAGATGTATGCTTCAGAGAGTTTGGGGAGGATGTGAAGTTATGGACTACAGTCAACGAAGCTACAATATTCGCCATTGCGTCTTATGGAGAAGGAATCGCGCCGCCCGGACATTGTTCTCCAAACATATTCATCAATTGCTCTACTGGAAATTCTTCTACAGAACCCTATATTGCAGGCCATAACATGTTGCTAGCTCATGCCTCTGTTTCAAATTTGTATAAACTAAAGTACAAGGTATATAAACATATATATATATATTTTTCTTTTTTTTTTCGCTCTTAAAACCTTAATTCTGTATATGATGGTGCAGGGTAAGCAGAGAGGATCAGTAGGCTTTAGTATATTTGCATTCGGGTTATCTCCTAATACAAACTCCACAGACGATGAAATCGCAACTCAAAGAGCTAAAGCTTTCTTACTTGACTGGTGAGAAGAAAGCTTTCTATGTTCCAGTAACTTGAGGACAAAATTCTGAAATACTAATAAATTGATAATTCAGGATGTTGAAGCCTTTGGTATTTGGGGACTATCCGGACGTAATGAAGAGAACGTTAGGATCGAGGTTACCTGTTTTCTCAGAGGAAGAGTCGGAACAAGTGAAAGGATCATCTGACTTTATTGGAATTATTCACTACATAACATTCTACGTCACAAGCCAGCCGGCACCTTCTATCTTTCCCAACATGAAGGAAGGCTTCTTTACGGACATGGGCGTATATTTGCTCCGTAAGCTTTGTTTCTTTCATCGTCAAAAATTAAAAATCAATAAAAAAAGCTTTTCATACTCATTCAACTGATAACTCACTCTTCCCTCTTTGGACAGCCATTGGCAATTTTTCATTTTCCGAGGTAAGGACCTGCAAATCTACACAACACGTATATTATTTCTAGGCCAAAAACTCTTATTGTGATATCTTCTTATTCAATTGCTTTTCTTGAAGTGGGAGGCTATTCCATGGGGTCTCGAAGGTGTTCTTGAGTATCTAAAGCAGAGCTACAACAATCCCCCAATCTACATTCTTGAAAATGGTACAATTCCTTTTTTTTGTTTTTGTCTTCTTGCTCTGTTCTCTCTGTTTGAAAGCACACCTTTTTGTTCTTAAGATTCTTTTAATCACACCCAAAAGAAAAAAAACAACAAAAACAGGTAAACCCATGAAACACGATTCGATGCTACAAGACACACCAAGAGTTGAATACATTCAAGCTTACATTGGTGCAGTGCTCAACGCCATCAAGTATTATTCTCCTTCTTCATCTTTTAGTCTTTATATTAGCATTGAAGCGGTCAAATATCCCAATTATAATTTCACTTTTAGTTTGACGTATGCCAAATCTTTTGACTGATCAGGAATGGATCGGACACAAGAGGTTACTTTGTATGGTCGATGATTGATTTATATGAGTTAATGGCTGGATATACAACCAGCTTTGGGATGTACTATGTGAATTTTAGCGATCCTGGTCGTAAGAGGTCTCCAAAGCTCTCTGCTTCTTGGTACACTGGTTTTCTCAATGGTACCATTGATGTTGCTTCTCAAGATTATATCCAGTTGCAGAGAAACCTCTCAGGCTATTCTTCACTGTAATAGTATTGGCTTATACATTCTTGTTTGGTTTGATTTCATCTATTGTGTGAAAAAATCTTCAGTGAGTTATATAGGCAACACGAGTACGTAGCATAGATTCTTAATGATGTGAACACAGATAAACATAACCAACCACAAAGAGTCGTAGGGGATTAAATTTCAACTTAAAAGAAAACATAATATTTTTCAGCGTAAGAAGTATAGTGTAAAATCTAAAATAATTAAGATTTTTTTTCTTTTTCTTTCAGTAAAATACAATAAAAGTGTAAATATTCGGATGATATTCGGTAAACGTAGCATACAGCGACAGTATCACACGTGGTTTGACCGGTACACACATGACCAGGTTGTTTGTACACACATGTGGTTTGGTGAAATGTTGGGGAAGACGCAGATGGGGAGCCTTGAATCAGTTTTAGTTAGCGATCAAAGGTTTTTACAAATTATAAGACCCATTGATTATTATACACACAAACTATACATTACAGCATCGTTGCACCAAATCTCACTGCTCAAGTAGCAGAGAGATACAGAGAAGGGACAAAAGAGAATATAAGCGTTCTAGAAAACAGAGGGCGGTTTCAGGCAGTTGTGATACTCAAGCTGAGTCATTTCTCCGCCGTTCACCGGATCAAACTGGCATCTGTAGAAGCTGTATGAACAACGTCAAAGAACCAAGTTCGGTCAAATCAAATATGCAATACACAGACCAGATAATAAGGAATTCAAGTTTGATGTAAACTCAAATGCAATTACAAGCTTTTTCTTTTTTGCTTACCTCCCATCCATGCCAAGAATAACAACTGTGTTCTTCTGATGACCAAAGGCGGCTATGTACTGAGTTCCTTCAACCAACCGGAACTGAGCCACCGACCACTCCGAACTGAAATACTTTGGCAACACTCCTAATCGAGCAAAAGAGTCATGGTTACTCAACCAATATGCTGCCAACAGCTAAGTGGTGAAACCAACGGACTTTGGCGTTTGTGGTATTTACCTTTGAATAATGATAGAGACGACGATGGGGATGAAGTGGAGCGAGTAAGATCAGATGCAATACGTGATGTCTCTTTCACTTGAGCTCCAGAGTTGACTTTGAGACCAAAAACATGGACAGTTCCTTTGTCACTTGAGACTGCTAACCACTCGGCATTTGAAGAGAAGGCCAAACTATAGATCTCCGCTCTATCTGCACCTCTCCTAACCTGCACGGTCACATCATATTGGCATTATTGTACCATGGACCCCAAAATCATATGGCATTATTATAACGATCACCAATGCATTTGGGATTTTCTAAAAATATACATCACCAGTGACAACATCCTGATAAAGATGATAAGATAAATGCATGGAGATTTTTTTTTCCTATGGAGGAATCGATGCAAAAAGACTTCATTCAGTGACTCCAATAGAAGAAAATAAAACTGTGTGCAGCATAAGGAACAAGATCAGCCACAACATAAACCTAGTAATGTTTTGATACTATAACCAGGTTCACCTCACTAAGCCAAAGATGCCTCCTTTTCAACATGTCTCTACCTAAGCAATCAATCTATCAAGAGTAGTGTACCATCTAAAAAGTTTGGGATTTGAGGTAAAAAAAAGAAAGAAATCCACAGAGAAGAAAATGCTAAATCGTCTGTAGACAAGCTCAAAACTATCGGACTCTATCATAATAAACACACATCCAACAATAATAGCAAGTAAATCAACTCAAAGTGCATATAAATGAAACTTCTCTGCATCTCTTAGCTAATAATAGAAACTTGAAATGAGATAATCAAAATCCAGTGCTACCCTACTTCATAATCAGAATCAGAAAATCAACAGTCAGTGACTAAACCAGCAAATTTGCCAAGATTCTTACATGAGCCATAGAAGCAAATCAAATAAAGAAAGGATTTTGATGAATGAAAAGCGTAATATGGTACCTCTTGCCGCAAGGTGCCATCAACAGTATTGAACACCCGAACCAGAGTACCCTTAGAGCTGGCTGTGGCCAACAAGTGCCCATCCTGCGTGAGAGCGAAGCAAGCAATTCTGGAATCATGAGCCATGATGAACTTGGTGCGTTTAGAAGCATAATGCTCGATCCGAACTTGGCCTTTCTGCAAACCTGGACAGACCAAAACCATAGAACCAACACCCTGAGAAACAGCACACAAACCCTTAGGATTTGCAATGGTCTCAATCTGATGCATCAGCTTGAGGTCGGAGAAGTTGTAAACAAAAATCTTCTGCTCCAGAACGACAATAATACGATCCCTCCTAAGCCGGACGGATCGAACATCGGACCTGAAAGAGAGTTCTCCGATACATCGTCCCTGGTGATCATCCCAAATCATGACCTTATTAGGAGGATACTGAGGATCGGGTCCGCCACCTACGAGTGCTAAAATGTTGCATCTGAAAAGCATCTCAACCACGGCAACACCACCGCCACGATCGAAATCACGGCGAAAAATCTCACGGAAGGGATCGCAATTAAGGATCCGGAAGCCACGATCGGTGCCAACAGCGAAGCAAGCATGGTCCTGGTTGAAGGAGAGGTGGAGCACGGATGGAGGAGGCGTCACCGGTAAAGAGGGAGAAATAGGAGGTTGATTAATACTAACGCCGCGATTGGAATTGGGAATCCGATCAGAATTATGATTAGGCTCGTCGGAGTTGAGGCTCATGGAGGAGAAGGAATCGAGAGACTCGGTGTCGTCTCCAGGATCGCGGTGAGAGGGAAAAGTAGAATCGGAATCTGAGGCAGATGTGGAATCGGGATTAGGGTTGGGGTTCGGCCAGGAGGAGGAGACGGTGGCCATGGAAGAAGGAATTTGAAGGAGTCGTAAGAGAGAAAGAGGATGGAGAAGAAGAAGAAGAAGCGTGAAGAGGGAGGAATAGGAAGAAGAAGAAGACTTGGTGCTTTGCTTGTTGCCGTCGTATCTTTCAGGCGGCTACTCGACTTCTTTTTTTGTTTGTTTTAACAATAAAAGTGGATAAACTCAAATTTTACGGGAGTCCCTTTTTTTTTTAACTGAATCTTTTACAGTTCATAAATTTTATTTATTTGTGCAGTAACACCAAATTATTAGATTCTCCTTGCTTTACGATAACAAAAAAAAAATAGATTCGACTCATGATATTATTAATGTTGTAAGCCTTTTCCTATAATACTATTTACATTTTATGTTATTGCCAAATAAAGTAAAACAAAGTCGTTATTTTATAAAACTTTCGTGTTTTTTTTTTAAATATATTTGAGTTCAATTTTAATTAAGAGGATATATAGCATAGATTATGCTCTATCAGATTTGTTACAAGGATAATTTACTGGTTACATACAGTAATTATCGCAATCGTATTAAAAAGTAGTTTCTTTAAAAATGAAAAAAATATATCTAAATATGTATGGCCAACATTTTCTATAAGTTCAAAAAAGAAGAACGCAACAATTTTTATGTTTTTATGTTTATGTTACAGAACAAAAAAAACACAACATTAATGTAAATGAACAAAACAACAGAAAAGAGAGGGTATAGAAAGAAAGAAAAAACACAAGTAGGAGGTGGACGTGATGAAATCAATACTTAAGTCTACGAATCTCCTCACCGACGACTTAGCTGTTAGCTCAGAGAACGTTGACCGGTTAATTAAAATCTGTACGGTGGATATAGTCCCGGGTGTGTCTGCGGCGTAGGATAACCATCCGGCGGACATGATAAGCCAGGAAATATAGATGGATACATTGTCTGTGGCCTTTCCGGTATGTAACTCATCGGATATCCATGAGGCGGGAACAATCCGGGGAAGCAAGCCGGCGGAAGAATCTCCGGCTGAGCCTGTGGTGGCTGAGAGTGGCAAGGAATGTGATCGTAGCTAAACGATCCCACGCTTGGAAGCAGCTGACTCAGTACGGGTCTGTTCAATACAGGCTGCTGTGTCGCTGCAGGACGCATCGGCTCAGGAGCTATGTATCGTGAGCTGCCACCATCGCTCGTAATCGCCACATGATCGGTGAAGGAATAAGTGAAACTAATGTCGCCTTTGGATTTTCCGATTTGATATGTGACGTATCTTTGACCGGACTTATCGTTTCCAAGATGATCCAAAAGCTCTTTCACCGAGACGTGAACCTCGCCGATGTCTTTCTCTCCGCCTCCAAGTTGCTCGCACTTGATCTTGAAAGTGACCACAAGGCGGTTAGCCTCAGCTAAGGTGTGGTTAATGGGGAATTTCATCAAATCATTGCCCCATTCGGGGCATGTTCCACTGTTTCTTGCCACTTGTGTCCGCTGCTCACGTTGGTCGGAGCATTTGGGATCGCCAGATAACTTCACGGCCACGAAAACATCCATCCTTGACACTTTCTTAATCCCTTTGGCTGACGTCACCTTTAGTTCTAGAGATCTGGTCTCCATTTTGGAAACTATTTACTAAAGATGATATGCAAAAGCTTGTTTCTCTCTACACACATTACATATAGAAATTACAGGGAAGACTTCAGAGAAAGTCAATGACAACTCACTAATTATAGAGGACCTTTTCATTTCTCCATCCACTGTTCTGTTTTTAATGTCTTTCTATTGGATCATGATTTAAATATACCTGTAAGAGTAATTATTACCATGAAAGAAGGAGTTTTGTGCTGCTTGATGAACAGCCAAAGGCATATTACAACTCGGTCAGAGGTAAAATAGACCAGAACAGATAAATCCATTGCAAAATCAAACTGAAAACGATCAAATAAAATTTGACACAACATACACAAATCTTCAAGAACCCTTTTTCTTTTTCTTCTTCTTCTTATTCTTCTTCTTCTTTTTTTTGCTACGAAAGATGCAAACTTTGGAGATAGGATGACAATACTTGATTAGTGATGAGTATGAGTACCATCCCCGGTTTCTTCGCCTTTCCTTGAAGCTGCTCTTAGTTTACGTTGTTCCTCTTTGTATATCCTGTTTCTTCGTTGGAACTAGAACAAATACACAAATACCCAGCTTCCCTTATCAGTCCATCTTACATAAGCTTATACTAAGCAAAGAAGTAATCTAGAAAAGCCTCTCAAAATTCTCAACAGCAAACCTATACATTCAGTTGAATTGGCTTCTCCGATACGCCCATGACGTCAATACAGAGAGAACATGGGAGTCAAATTTGGACAGATCGTTCCATTTGAAGGATCAAACAGGGACAAGAGCTGAAGAGTATGTCTCAACTTCCAAACTCAATAGCTAACTAGTTCAAGGGGGTAAGAGAAGGCCATAAAACTAAATATCAAACAAGGGAAGCGGTGTAAAATAAACCTAATCTCTAGGAGCGAGCTAGTGAAATGCTATTTTAGCATCCACATTTACAAATTGAGAGAATGCAAATTCGTGAAACCACGAGACTTATTAGTTTCAACAAAAGGAAGCTTATGTTTGTATACATCTAATAAGCCATAAATGACCAGTTAGAGGGATTGATCCAACAGGGTGATCCAGAAACCATAATCAGATTGATTGATCTAGGGTTTCGTAAAGACGACGACCGGTAAACAGAGCGAAGAATCAACAATAAAAGCAGCAAGACTGATGATCAAGCAATAAAAAGCGTGATTTGATGACTAATACAAGACAGGAACCAATTGAAAGAAAAGGGTACCTCTTTGGAATGGTGAAGACACTCGAGGTAGTCTTCACGAAGAAGAGTACAATCCTTGGGCTCTCTGCAGTGAGACATACATTCACTGAAATCCATCCAGAAATCGTAACATCTCCCTTTGTTTCCCGTTATCCCCCACCCCGACGCCATTTTTCTCTCCTCCTCCTATCCCCAAACTTACTGCTGGAGAGATCTAAAGGTCAAGGACTTCTTCTTCTTCTTCTTCTTCTTCTTCTTCTTCGCCTGATTGGTTTCTAAGGATCCGAATCATTCGGGTTTATCCAACTAGAACCCGAAACAATCCTTTAATGGGCCTAAATATTATGGGATCTGCATCATTTGGGTTTATCCAACTAGAACCCGAAACAATCCTTTAATGGGCCTTTATATTACGGGCTATAAATAAAACAAACACTCCCCTGAGTTCAACACTACACAGCTGACAGCACATAGCTTATAGCTCAAGAAATTAGCAAAAGAAAAGATGGGGGAAGAAGAAAAAAAACCTAATTCAGTCTACATAGTTGCCGAACTGGTGGAAGACATACTCCTCAGGCTGCCATTGAAACCACTTTTCAAATTCAAAGCCGTCTCAAAACAATGGAAATCAATACTGGAGTCCAAGATTTTCGTGGAGAGGCGTAAGAGTGTTCAAAAGAAGCCCAAAATCCTGGCTGTCGGCGATTCACTTTTCCAAGGAGACGCAGAGATCGACGTTGACTATTTACAAAGCAATGAGGTCACCACACGACCTTCGTTGACATGTGACGGTTTGGTTTGCATCCCTGTTCCAGATTGGGTCTACGTTTTGAACCCTTCCACCAGAGAGTTCCTTCGATTCCCTACCGGCCCCTACGACTATGGGGTCGAACTCGTTCCCCGTAAGTTTTTTTATTTTATTTTTTACTTAAAGAAAAAAAGAATATAAAGAATATTCGTTTCCGGTTCTAAAAAGTTACAATTGCAGAAGCATGGCGTAACATATTCCCTGGATATTGGGCGATGGGATTCGGTAAGGATGAAGTTGAAGGGAGCTATAAAGTAGTGAGGATTTTATATGATTTCAACTTTTTCGAGATTCTTGATGTGAACATTGGGGAATGGCGGAAACTTAGCCCGTCCCCTTACAAGGTTGAACAGACAAGGAAGTCGGCGTGTGTGAATGGTTCCATCTACTGGTTAGACATGAGGCATAGATTTAAGATACTAGCTTTGGATCTTCACACAGAAGAGTTCCGGGATGTCTCTGCACTTCCGCCTCTTAGATACACCGCTGCATCTCAGTTAGTGAACCTTGAAGACCGTTTAGCCATTAGCGACACATGTTTTATACTTGAATGGGCAATGGAGATATGGGCCATGGATGCACAAGAAGAATCTTGGACTATGACTCACTTCATAAGTTTATCCACAGTTAAGTGCCCAACAGGTTATTGGACAAGGTGGTTCACCCCCGTGGCTGTTTCTAAGGAAGGGAATCTTTTCTTACATGACAGTGGGAAGAGGTTGCTCAAATATTATCCACATACAGACTACCTTAGTTGCGTCTCTTCAGACATTTCTTTTATATCTCCTTTCGAGGAAAATCTAGTCCCACTTGGTTCACAACCAGAATGTGTTGCGAAAATCAGCACATCTGGCGACCAATATGGATTTAGCTATTTACCACCAACATGTGTTCCAGATATCATCAGCGCAGATGGGTGCCAATCCCGGACATCTAGTATTTTCGGACGATACGAGTTGCTGATCCCACATATTTTGCTTACCTCTGCTCTAGTCTCTCTCATTATTTTTCGTTTTAAATATTCTACTTGAATAGCAGTTACTGTCTCTCCACGCTGTTATATGACTAATATCTATTCATTAAACTTTTCCACAATCGCCTTGTTTCTTATGAACACACTTTACTGTTTGTTCACTTCTTGTGTATTATTGTACAAGATTTCGAGTGATGTTTTGTTGAGGAAGGGAAAGGTGAACTCTCTCTCTCTCTCCAATGACGCATACATTCGCTAATATCCCATCCACAGAACCAGTGACTTGGATCATCACAACAACTGCGATTTTCTAAGCATCCAAATATCATTCAGAACTACAATTAGTCGTTACACAGCACATAGAATATTGCTTTAAGAAAACCAAAGACAAGAAGCCTTAACATATTCGAGGGATTCAACTATATATCCCTACAAACAGATGAGATATAGCTTAGCTTAACATTCTACCACTACACGTATCATGCATCAAAGATGATGTCATTATGGCTTCGAGAGACGATAGGCAATAAACTTATCATCCCTAAAGAGCATCTCCGCGTCTTCAGGAAGAGTTATCTCCGGGTTCCATGGACGACAAACTACATGCTGGCCAGTTGGTATACTCAGGTGGCCTGTTCCCATTATGAGCTTCTTCTTCTCACTCTCATCTACACATGATGATTGTTCACTACCATCGTTTGTGGGATTCTGAGGCATACTCGAAAAACAAGCTGCAATATTCCTCTTGATACCATTGGTAGCTGGTGCACTAAGAGTTACAATGTTTGTAGGAGTCTGAGGTATAGGCGAAGAAGAAGCAGCACTGTAGTTTATATCAGTAGTTGCATTAAGGGTACCATCGTTTGTAGGATTCTCTGGCACATGCAAAGCAGCGTTCATCCCCTTAGCGTTACTGGCTGGTGCATTGTGAAGATCTGGAAATTCAGCACAGAATGAAGACTGTAGAGCATGAGTTTTCAATGAACAACCATTTTAACCATTTAGCATAAAGCTGACATTAGAATCCATTCCATGCAGTTCAGAGTAATGTTGACTTTCTTATTCATAGCTGTTTCCTACCTAGCTCAGGAAATACGTTATAATAGGACTGAGAGTTTTCCCTTTAACAAACATTTAAAGCATTATTCATGTAGTGTAGCTTTCAACGAAGACTAACCATCTTCATACAGTTTCTTCCACTTTGATGGGGAATCAGGGGTCACCACCACTTTGGAAGGTTGGGAATGGATCTCTTGTAGACTGCTCTTCACATTTGCATTGATAGGCTCTTGTCTCTCATAAGGCAAAGAAGGTGATGAGGTCTGGTTCGAGTTCCCTGCACATCACAGATTATCACCAAGTTGTCTGGTTTGACTTTTTTTAACATTGGAAATATGCTTCAAGATATTAAAATCAAATAGCTTTGAAACAAAAAGGTTGTTTATGCTTGGTTCGTTGTAAAACTGCTCACCCTCATGACCCAATTTCTGATTTGGCCATGTTGAAGGATATAGTGAGGGGAATACTGATCTAGAAAACTTCAAAAGATTGACAAGAACAAACTCAGATGCAATTAACAAGATTAAAGGTAGTCAAACTATCTACAGCTAAATGGAATTTGAAAGCAGTTCACAAGAACAGTGGTAACAATAACGAGAAACAGTCCAATCATTTCTTATCTCATATCACGCACCAACTGAAAACTAACATAACTTGCTGACATTGAAATATTAGACCATATTTAAGGGAACAGATTAAATAGGAAAAGCAAGGGATGTTCAAAGGTTAAATACATACCATTTTTTATACTCATGAATGCTACTTTAGCAGCACTCATTTCAGCCAACTTTTTGGTTTTTGCCTCTTCTCCGCTGAAAACTTTCCCAGCAAACTCAACAGTTGAAATAAAAGTAGGCGCATGTGATGGACCAGATGTAGCAGTTGCATAGAGTGGTAACAGAGAATTTCCTTTCTGAGCGATTTCTTGTAACAGGTTCTTGTAGGCAACATCAATACCCTGAACAACAAAAATGACACAAAGATATTATTAGATTTTCAAGAATATTAAAAAGCACATAATTGTGGTCCAAAAGGAGTGGGAACTAGCCTCTGGACTCTGCGGCGTCAATGAAGCCAATGCTATTTTTGCAGAGGCATGTTCAGCCGATTTAAGAGTCGGAAAGAATTCCTGGCTCTGGAAAGTCTGGCCACAAAATGAAACATTACATCTAAACCGAGGAGCATGAGGAGGCCCTTCTCGCTCAGTGGCATACACGGGTAGATCAAGATTTTGTTTGAGGGCATATGCTTGCAGCTGACCTTTGTATACATGATCCATCTCTATCTAAGCTGGAGAAATAAGCAAAACATATGCTGAGAGAAAATATTTAATACATAATTAGAATGTTTTATACAACCAAATCCAACAAACCTCTTTCAAGCCTAATAGTCTTTGACAACCAAATATTTTTATACATAACTAGAATCGCAGAAAAACTTTTGCAATTTAAGTAGATCATCTAAATTTTCCAAAAACCAATGCAAAGTTGGGGATATACACAGTTTAATGAAAAAGGTACAGGATTCAAGTGGCTAATCCACAGAGATCATAAGGGGTATGAGAAAACATCCACAATCTGCTTCTGAGTTGGTCAATTTCACTGAATTTCATGAAACCACAAAATGTTCTAGTTTCCAAAAAAAATAAAAAAAATAGACATAAATGGCAAATGAAGAGACGAGTTTCAGAACTGCTCGAATATATCAGACTGAATTGATCTAGGGTTTCGTATGATAAAATCAGTAAAATTGATCAAGCAATCACAAAGCGTTAATTGAAGATTACAAGACACGAACGATCTGAGAAATCGTACCTCTTGGGATGGAGAAGACACTCGGAAGTAGTGAACATATCAGACACATGAGCTTAAATTCATCCAGAAATTGAACAAATTCTCGAAAGATCCGAACGAATCCCAGCTGGAACGGGTATTGACCCGAGATATCCATTAATGGGCCAAAAGGTAGGCTTAATCATAAAGGCCCAGTGAAACTTGGAACCTTCGAAGCCGATCAGAAGGTACCATCTCGATCTCTACCAAGTATTTGGTAAAAGGAGACGACGGCGGAGGAGCCAAAACGTTGAGGAGGGAAAGGAGGAGAAATGGTGACCGGAGAAGCGTTGATTGCGTACAGAGCCCTGCTCAGGGCCACAAGAAAATCTTTCGCCGGAGATACCGAGATGCTGAAGGCTTCGGCGTCTGAGATCCGTAAAAAATTTGATGAAAACCGCCACGTGGCTTCCGGCTCCGACATCACTCGCCTTCTCGAAGAGGCGCGTGAGGCGACGCAGTTCATTTCCACCATGATCGTTCAGGCTAAACTCAATGAACGCGGCGGATACGGTTCGTTTTGACTCATTACACTCTTTTTATCTTGCGCACCATCTGTTCGTTGAATTGCGTGAGTGAAAAAACTCAGTTTCTGGGAAACTTTATTTTGTAGAGGTGAAAGCAAGTCAGGAACACGCAGGAGCTACTTTGGAGCTTCCATCAGAGGAGATGCTTCGGAAAAAAACTGTATGAGTAAGTCTCAATGATCTGACTACACTGAGACTATCTAAAATTGCCTTACTCGTTTTGTTTAAATGGCAAAGGTAGAACTTTTTTTTTTGTCGTTCTCTGTTTGTTTTCTCTCTTCATAGCCAAATTTGATTAATAAGGAGCTCCTTACATACATTTTTGAATGAAATTCGTCAATTTCAGAACTATTACTTGTCCAAGAACTGCATAATCTCTTTTACGTTCGTGCCTCTTATTGATACTATACTTTGTTAGGCTATAGATACTCACTTTTCGTATTTCTTGAATCAATGGCTTTAGAAGCATTGTCTTGCCTTCTTAGAGACCCATTTCTGGTATCATACTCAAACCCATGTCACTTTTGACTGCAAGTTTGGAATAGAATTATCTTCGAGATTATCTCTTTAGCGTTCCTTGTCACAGTTGCTTGTGTGATTTCATAGAGTCCTAGTAGGAAGTTTGAAACGAGAAGGGTGAAGCCATGATGGTCCCATAAGTATGGTTCATTTTCCAAAGAAAACCACTACACAATCCTCTCTCTCCTTACCCCCATTCATGGCTGTCCATGGTTTTGCTCAGAAATCCTTTATGATCTTCATGGTTTCAAGTTTTAGGTTTCTCTTATTAGTGTCTCAGTCGTGTCTTTTGTTTCATAGGAATCATGTGAACCGCCATAACCATATATGCTTCGTTCTCTCAATTCATGTGAGATTGATTCAATTTTGTAAAGCTGTATTCATAAATGCTCACGCATTACCTGATTACGCTGTATATAAGAAGAACTCACGCACGTCCTAAAAGAAAGTAGCTAAGGCGTGAAGAGGAAAAAAGTAATTAAAAAAGGATCCGACGAGATATGGTCATGGGCCTCATGGCGATGACAAAACTTAGGAAGTGTAGCTTCCTTTTTTGTTTTACGGTGTAAATGATACTACAACCTCATGCCGTACGCAACTAGGTGATCTTCCATTTATAAACAGTCAATGGTAATGTTTTCAATCTTTGTTAAGTCCGCCAGGTAGAGTAAGAATTAGACCAATGTTTACCAAACCAATAAATAAATAAGATTTGATCTATCTCTAATTCTTCTATTAGGTCCGGAGTAGTTGTTGAAAATGGTTAAGGATATTTATGCAAAATAGTGATCAAATTACGAGTTAACTGAGAATAATCGAATTGCTATTATCAAATTGACCAATTTATAACGTCGAACATAGCGTTTAGAAACGTTGTGATCATAACTCCGACACCTACAAATGGACCGCCATACCCTTTTTATACTTTTACTTTTAAACCTACCAGAAACCCAAAAAGTAAATTTATACGTGTCTATATATACGATCTCTCTCGTCGACACCAATTTTGTATAAAAGATTTTACATATTTCTTACAACCCATAAGAAAACCCCATGAGTTCTTCTATCGCATTTGCACTTGTCTTCTTTCTCCTTTCTCTCAGTCCAACTTTATCATTGCCGTCTAAACGCAACAGCTACGTTCAAAACGCATGTAGAGTTACACACTACCAAGATCTCTGCGCTAAAACGCTATCGCCGTTTGCATCAGTCGCCAAGAACAGTCCCAGCAAATGGGCACGTGCAGGCGTTTCCGTGGCCATAACCGACAACAAAGACGTCCTTAGATACCTTCTCAAAACGCGGCTTTCAACGGTCGGGAAACACGACCGCGTCGCTCTGTCGGACTGCCGAGAACTGCTTCAAGACTCTCTTGATAGTCTCCACAAGTCCCTGGCCGTCCTCCGGACACTCAGAGCCAGCGAGTTCCAGCAGCAGATGAGTGATCTTGCCACGTGGCTTAGTACTTCCCTCACGGACAAGGACACGTGTCTAGATGGGTTTGATAAAACGTCGACGAAGTCATCAACGGTCAGGATGATTCGGAACAGAGTGACAATGTCTTTGTATGTGTCAAGCAATTCGCTCGCGCTCCTTAACAAGCTCGCGGCTAATGGTTTGCAATCTCATAAATCATAAAATTTGACAAAGATTTGGTTTCCATGTGTGTGTAACATCATTAATAATAATGTGGTTCATTGTTGAATTATTAAGATTAAGTGTATCTATCCTCTTAATAGGAAAATCAAAAAAAAAAGAAAGTGTAATCTATCTCATTTGAATCGAATGGAATTATTTAAAAGGATTAAATCGCTCATCTCACAGGCAAACTATTATGGGCCTACTGTCAATAGACTGGGCCGAGATGATATTCTTAGTCCGGTATTTTTGTTTAGATTTGAGCGTCCCAAGCCCAAGCCACCAAACGAGTAACGAACAAGCCGATGAAGTCAAACGTGAGAATAAAAGAAGTCGGTGACAAACATACTATAACAAACACAAAAAGATATTTATTTGGTAGAAAAAAAATTTCTAGCGCTTTTCCTTGTTTAGATTTTTTCTTCAAACTGTTTTATTGATTCCTTTTAAATGGAAATTTACGAAAATATATTGAAATTTCTTATTCCTAACGCCAAGCGATGAACATTCAAATAAAACCCATTTGATTGCCTTATTGACATATTTTTGCTTCAAATCTTATGTTTGGAGTATCAATTATTTCAAAGTTAAAACCTAAAACCAATCTATGATTTTTTTTGTTAAAAATAAAATGCTTTTATTTTGGCACTTACAGGGGTATCATATAAGAGATAAGATCATCCTAAATCTCTAGTACGTTGGCTAGTCTTATTCCATTAGTTTTTTAATTGGCTCATAAAATTCAATTGTTATTTATAAGAAAACAAACAAAGAAGTTGGCTTGATGAGAAAACAATTATGATATTTAAATTGTTAGCCATCGTGAATCCAAAAAAAAAGGTTAGGCAAGAAAGTGAAAGAGGTGTGGGGAGACATAGCTAACCGCCAGGTTAGCATCACAAGTCAACGTAAAACGCCTATGCTCTTTCATTTGTTTTAAATTTTTAAAAAAAAAATGTAATGAAAGTTTTATGTGACTTCTAGTGTTATTGTAAGGATTGATCAATGTCTAAAATGTATAACACCAAGGTATAATTATAATTGGGCTTAGTGTAAACTAATTATTTTACAGATGGTAAAGCTACTAAAATAAGTACTGCTGTAAGGTTATGCAAACGGATGAGTTTGTGTATCAGTATTATATGTTTAATGTACATACATATAGTTAACGTACGCGTTAGATCCAAATCATGCGTCTTGCAATTCGCAAAGGGTTTTTACGTTATAATCAGAAGGCAGTACACTCAAGTAAATTACTCAAATATATATGTATATGTATATAGATCTCTACCACTAAAACTTGATTTACCCATCATATATGTAGATGATCTTCGGTTGCTTGGGGAAAACAAATTTAGTAACAATACGACCAAATAAAACAACAATCAGTGTCACATTTAGTTTAAGTCTCTTTCTGTTTTTTGGGCAATCACATTTAAATCTCACAGGCACACTTTTTGATCACGTTTCCCAAACCCTGAGGTCGTCCAAAGCGTTATGAATGTGATTTTTGTAAAACCAAGTAATAAAACTGTTTTAGTTTGTTAGAACATTATTACAGAATTTTAATTATACTTTAAACGCAACTAACAAATAGTATAGAATAATTATCATGTTTGTAAATAATTCTAAAGTTGAAAATACATTAAAAAATAATAGAACGTCGAAATCACTCAAAGCTCACACCAATTATGGCTTTGAGTGCTAAGTTAGGGTTTGGCATTGACTTTGTTTACGTGAGATAAGCAATAAACCTAACGAACCTTTCGTATCATTTAATTGCAAATTGAGTTTTAATTAATTAAATTTAAAACACCATAGATACAAAAATATATGTGTATGTTAACTTGTTGTTGCAAATAATGGACTAAGTAACAATATTAATGTCCGAGTTTGAAGGAAAGTTGAATGAAATAAATAAAATTAGATCTTTTTTTTTTAATATAAATAAAAAGGGGGTAATCTCGTAATAAGAGTGGAAAAACAAGGCTTGACCTGTAACGCTTCTGCTACTTAAATAGACCACAAAGACCGATTCGCTTTTCACTCTCTCGTTCAAGGTCCGACTCAGTTCCCGGCGAGTTCGACTCGGTGTTTGATTTTTTTTCCTAGAGAAGAGAAAAAGAAAATTAAAATTATTCTTAACGATTGATTCGGTTTCTCGTATTTGTGTGTCTCTTCTCGATTTCTAGATCTAGAATTGAATTGTCGAGGTAAAGAGGAGGAGATGGCGAGCGAGCTGATCAATCGGCGACACGAGGCGGATCAACCCACCGCCGATGCTTATTACCCGAAACCAATCAAGCCATGGTTCATGGCGACTCGCCCGATGCGTTACATGCTCCGTGAACAGAGACTCATCTTTGTTCTCGTTGGCATTGCAATCGCTACTTTGGTTTTCACCATTTTCCCTCGCTCCACCCAATCAAGCCCTTACTCCGATCCCTTCTCCGGTTACGGAATCAGACCCGTCGAATCGTACGTTCCGGCGCACAGGAAACCTAGCCTCGAGTACCTAAACCGGATCGGAGCCACCGGCGGGAAAATTCCACTGGGATTGAAACGCAAAGGCCTACGAGTCGTCGTCACCGGTGGTGCTGGATTCGTTGGATCGCATCTCGTGGATCGTTTGATGGCCAGAGGAGACACTGTCATCGTTGTTGACAATTTCTTCACAGGTCGTAAGGAGAACGTTATGCACCATTTCAGCAACCCTAATTTCGAGCTTATCCGTCACGATGTCGTCGAGCCGATCCTTCTTGAGGTTGATCAGATCTATCATCTGGCTTGCCCTGCCTCACCTGTCCATTACAAATTCAATCCCGTCAAGACTATCATATCCTTTGCAATTTGATCCTTCTTCGATTCAATTTTTGGACTTGTCGTTTTGCTTGTGTTTGTTCCTTGACTTAGATTGATACAAGACGAATGTGGTTGGAACACTGAACATGCTTGGTTTGGCTAAGCGAGTCGGTGCTAGATTTCTCCTCACGAGTACAAGTGAGGTTTACGGTGATCCTCTGCAGCATCCTCAGGTCGAGACTTACTGGGGAAACGTTAATCCCATCGGTAATTTTCTTTTCTTAATTGATTCATTCATTCATTCTCTATGCCTTCTGTTTTCTTTCGTTTGTTCTGTTTTGTTCTCTAATCGGAATCTGAAAACGAAGCCTTGTTATTCCACCGTCACGTGACACGACGACGTTTTTGAGCTGCTTCTGTCTTTTGTGCCCTCTTTCCTTTTATGTGTCGGAAAATGCGCACGTTAGGAAAGAGAGAGAGAGAGAGAGAGACAGGTGTTTTATGGTGCGCCCCTCATGTGCTTTCCTTTCAGATCTGGTCCCCTCTCTTTGTACGGTCAAACCATTGAACCGTGAATAACGGGTCTTTGTGATCGTGCGGCTCTCTTATTACGTGTCTCTGCCTTAGACGCAGCCTCCACACATTAACTTCTAGCCTAACATTCACATACCGACTTTCATTTTTCTAGAGCTTCAAGTTATTTTATTACTCAGTTACTACACCGACACGTGCATGTTTAATGTTTTATTGTGCTTTGATTGATGACTGATTGGTGTTTTAATGGTGGTAACAGGTGTCCGTAGTTGCTACGACGAAGGAAAGCGTACGGCAGAGACGTTGACCATGGACTATCACAGAGGTGCCAATGTTGAGGTTGGCTACTTGTTCCTTTTCCTTCCCTTTCAAGCCAACTTATGTTTTGTCTAGTAATCGTTGCTAAAGAAGAGATAGAAAGCGTTTTCCAATGACTGAGTTTTGTATGTGTCCTGTTGATTTGTCACAGGTCAGGATTGCTAGGATCTTTAACACCTACGGTCCAAGAATGTGTATAGATGATGGACGTGTTGTCAGCAACTTTGTTGCACAGGTAGGGTAGCAAATACGTTAAATCATTGATAAAGTGTTTAGTTTCATGATTAGAGACTTAGAATAATGATGGTTTGAATTGATAATAATTGAACAGGCTCTAAGGAAAGAACCATTGACTGTTTACGGTGATGGGAAGCAGACAAGGAGTTTCCAGTTTGTTTCTGATCTGGTATGGCTTTCCATTTTCCCCCTAAAAAACGGTTCAATATAATAGTAATACAACTTGCCAACAAAAATATCTTGTTTTCTATTATTTCTTTGGTCCAACTCAAGATATATTCTCACTTTATTGTGGAAAAGGAAATTTTTAAAAAGCCAAATTTGGTAGGTGGTAATGTGTCAAATCACTATATTATTTAAACCTTTTAGAATTTAAAGTACTTGGACCTTTAAGTTTTTTTTTTTTTTTTTTGTATACATTGATACTGCTTTTTCGGGTGACATTCACAGATTAAAGGATTTTACTTGCGTGTAATAGGCATTCCAATATATTTTCATTTTTTGGGTAGAAAGAAGCCTTTAGAAGAAAAACAGGCGAAGTTAATTTGTGTCAATTGTTTCAAGTGAGCTCACATGTTATGTTATTGTAGTAAATTAGTGAGTATGTCGTGGGATCTAGTAACAAAGGCTTTTAAACATGAGACCCTAATCTCAGAGACGGTCCCCACTTTAGCAATCTTATGAAAGATGGGTATCAATATCATGTGACGAAGGACCAAATGGGGTCTCATCTTTATTACCCTTTTGTCCTGGTTTATTTTGTAGCTGTTAATTTTGTAGGATCAATCTGATTTTGTGTTTGTGTGATGCAAAAGGTCGAAGGTTTGATGAGATTAATGGAAGGAGAACATGTCGGACCATTTAACCTCGGTAACCCTGGTGAATTCACAATGCTCGAGCTCGCAAAGGTCTCTTTCTATGAATATATTCCTTTTCCGATTCTTACCTATTACCCCGGTTTCTGATATTGTGATTTGATTGGTTTTTGTTGGAAGGTGGTCCAAGAAACGATAGATCCGAACGCAAACATAGAGTTCAGACCAAACACAGAAGACGACCCTCACAAGAGAAAGCCTGACATCACAAAGGCCAAAGAGCTTTTAGGTTGGGAACCAAAGGTCTCTCTTCGTCAGGGACTCCCTCTCATGGTCAAAGATTTCCGTCAACGTGTCTTTGGTGACCAGAAGGAAGGCTCCTCCACGGCTGCAACCACCACCAAAACAACTTCAGCCTGAGCAAACGCAGAATCAAGTAGCGTCCACTGCGGTTGGTAGTGGGTTGATAACAAGAATGCAAGACCCTGCAGAGCTACTACATGAAGAGAGGAGAGCTTCATTTCTTTAAATTTATTTCGTTTTTGATTTCTATTTTGATGATAATCGTGTAAACGTAGAGTAAGAATTTGGTACCTTTACTTACTTATTCATGGACCTCACAACAATTTTAAAAGATCGTTTGTCTTCTGCTATTACAAAATTTAGTGTCATTAATGCGTTTTTTTAAGTCGAGAATATAGAAGAACAAGTGCAAATACAAGGCAACATTACTAGATTTAAAGCTCGTAATCAAAACATGTTCCACCGTTAATTCAACAATTAGAATTTTAACAAGACAAAGCGAGCATTATGATATGAAGAGGAACCACTAGCATCCATCTTGATTACTCTCACTTGGGGTAGCATCCATCACGACTACACTCACTTGGGGTTCCTGAGGACGATAATGACAGAGTCTCCACGCAGGAACATCTTGCTGATGAATCGATCTCTGTTGACAGGAAGAGCTTTGTTCTTTCCTTTTCCGGTTTTAGGGACCTAAAAAACCGGAAAATCCATGTAAGAAGAAGCACTTGTCTATACATGAAACAGAGACATAAAAAAATGGGCAGAGAAGTTTTACCTCAGTCCACATTTCTCTGACATTTTCAAGAACCATGTTGCAGTGCCTGTCAAAGGCTCTAACTCGCCCAAGGAGTTTCCTGTTGTTTCGGCAATTGATCAAGACCTGAGTGTTATTCTTGACACTCATCATAAGAACAGAGAGTGGTCCGGTGTTGAACTCCTCCTCCTCAGTCTTTCCCTGCTACAGAAGTACAAAAGAATGAGGAACTAGGATCCACATATGAAAAAACTAAAACGAGTATTAGAACAACAATGCAACCAATACAAAAGTGCCTTGTTAAGAACATCAAGTACTCATTCAACACCCTAGAAGATCATCTGTGTAATTCTCAAGACAGTGTCTCTGTTCACGAAGCACAACACTACAGAACCCAAATGACTTGTGAAGGTACTCATTCATTAACAAAATCCTCAGTCTTTCCCTGCTACAGAAGTAAAAAAGCTTGAGGAACTAGGATCCACGTATGAGCAAAAGCTAAAGATTATTAAACAACAATGCAGTAGCACAAGATTTCCTTGTTAAGAAACATCAAATACTCATTCGAAACCATTAACATTCACATACCAAAAACTCTTAACAACCTTCAGTGAGCAATTTTCAGGACATTGTCTCATATTAACTAGCACAGCCCCTAGAAAATACAGAAACCACATGACTTCTAAAGGTATTCATCAACAAAATTCCAAAAATGAGAACCCGTAAGAATCAACAAAACAGCAGGTTGCAGGAACTAATAGACATAGACATGGCAGAAATAGCAAAACTAGGGTTTATGTTTATATGCTTAGGCAGGTAAAAGAGCTTCAAATAGATCGACAAATCAGTAACGAGAAAGAGAGAGACGGGTAGAGTAACTTACGTTGGTATCTTCGTCCATGGGTTTACTGAAATCGAAAAAAACAAAACAGTGTGAAAACAAAATCGTGAAGAAGAAAGATAAAAATAAGCAGACGAAGATGAGAACCCTAGAAGAATACCTCATGTTGCTCGACAAAATTCTCCGAAACGGTGGAAGCTGCAAAGCAGGAAAACGAAGAAGATTAAGAAACTGTTAAGAGAGGTTCCCAGAGAGAAGCAGATCGAAGAAATTAGGGTTTACCGGCTAAAGCTAAATCCCGTTTTCGTTTTCCAAAGATCTCAGAGTGAGCAGAAGAATGATGGGGGAGGGAGAGTACTCGCGACTAGTCAATTAGTACATGCGGTTAAAGAGGGCTCAATTGAGAGACCCATATAATTTATTGGGTCTTAAAAGTAATTGGACTAATTGGAGTAAAGCCCATTTCTAAATTGTTAAAATATTATTATTATGGCCCATTAATAATTCATATGGACTGACAACAGAATAAAGCAGATTCTTCTCTGTTTAGTTTATTTATTACATTGAAGATCGATGGACCAAGCGGCGTCCACCACCGTTTAACCCACAAAGGTGAGTACTAGTAGCTTGTGGTCGTTTAGATTTCTCTTGACTGTTGTTACTAACGCCGTCCACGACCTTTTCAACATTGGAGGTATTATTACCTCGTATGGGAGTGACGGTGGTAAGAGAAGCGGAGTCGCCGGTACGTACGTCAAGCCAATTCACAATGTCAGCGAAAACGAGGTCCACGTTAGCGTCAGGCTCACCAGAAGTTAACCCGTGCCACATGCCTGGGTAAAGCTTGATGGTTTTGTCACGTGTGCTTGCTTTCTCGAACAAGGCTTTGCTTATCTCTGGATCAGTCACAATGTCTGCTTCACCGTGGAGGACAAGGAAAGGCAACGTGATCTCGTGGAGGGTTTCTTCGAGGTCCATGCTCGTTCTAAGCATTTCGAGTGCGGTTTTGAGTCTTGGCTTGTCTTGATATATCAGCTTGTTGTTCCTTATCTACATTTTTGGAAAACCAATACTGTTTTACTTACTATAGTTGTACACTCTGTTTAATTGTGGCAGGAGTAACTAATTCGATTAACTTGCCTCTTCGCGCTTGACAGGGTCCTTGAAAGCAGCATCGATTACATCTTTTGTAGGAACGATCTTCCATTTTGGTATAATATCTTCAACTCTTGTTAGTAGATTTATGACCACTGGGTGTGGTTTCACCTTCTCTGATATCTGCTCTTACACACACACACACAACTAATGAAAATGCTGATAAGTCATTTATATATTTTAGTCTAATGAGATTTGTGTCTTAATTTGATTACAAAAGCAGTGATTGTAAAGGGTGTTGGCTATAAAAGAAGAGAAGAGACGTGACCTTACACATAGGAGCAACGAGAATGGCACCGTTCCAAAAAGAAGGATATTTCTTGTGAAGCAACAAAGCAACTGCACCTCCCATTGATTCCCCATACAAAAATCTTCCTTTCTCTTTGTATTCTTCTTGTGCTATAAACATCATTAAAGTAGGTTTTATTAGTCTTCTTGATGGAGACTGGACATCGAAAATCGGATGTGGCCTGTGTCCAGTCTAACACCGACAGATCTAATCTAAGATGAAACCAAAACCAAACTACTAGAATGGTATATTGTCAAAAACCAAAACTAAAAAAAATAAAACGAAAACAAGGTCATCTGTGTCTACAACAGAACAAAACTAAAAGAAAATAAAACCAACTTAAAGTATTAAACTTCAATTTTTGTCAACATTAAGGATATATATTCTTCAAAGCAGAAATTAAGATACATAAATTAAATTATTAAATCAAACCAAACAAAAATGTATTTGATTTCTAAACTATATAAATCGAGAAACCCAATCCGAAACGGAAACACACTATATAATTTTAAAAAAGGTGTAAAAAAGAAAGATGATGAAATAGGTATTGTCGAGAGTACCAGAGATGAACGTGTAATAGTCATAGCAATCATTTACTATATTACTAAACTTTTTGATATAGCAACGAGCGCCCTTGGACCGACCATGTCCCTCGTAGTCCATCCCAAACACTGCGTATCCCGCTGCTGCCAGCCGTATTCCGCATTCTATTCGAAACATTATAAACGAAAAAAAAATAAAAAATTGAATTCCAATGTATAGACAAATGTGGTTAAGCAGAATTAGTTGTCAAAGATCACAATCAATGAGGGTTCACGAGTATCTCGTTGTGTTAGGAAAAGAGAAACATAACTAATACTTTTTTTTTTCCGTGGAGACTAGTTAACTTTTATATTCTGCCGATTTCATCAAACTTTTCTATAGTTAGGTATTCACACATGGAAAGTAGACGTACCATACTTAGCTTAATCTGATAGATAATGGCATGTTTTTGGTCACCGCTAAGTTATATATACTTACCATCATGGGAAAGATAGATAAACTAAGCCGCAACGGCTTTTAGGGAAGAAAAATACGAAAAACGTGAACAAGATAAGGATAGTGTGTAACGTTTCCCCAAAATAAAAGATAACAACAAACCAAAGTTAATCAAAAGCTACGAAGCAGACAAAAGTGCCATACACTCATAGAAAGGCACATAGTTCTGCAACTAATTAACAACTCTTTTATTTTATATTTTGTCTTTGCTTTTATTTTTTTTCAATATAAATATGCACCGTAAAATTATTTCCTAAACGAAGCACATACATATATGGCGAGATCGGAAGAAGTACAAATTGATCACATTTATGGTCGATGCTCTCATATAATCACTAAAACATCATCTCATTCGATAGATACTCTATCCGATGCATGCAACTATAACAAAACACACTACAAACCATATCCAAATGCATCTATATATAACAATAAGAGAGCAAATCTTATAAGACTAAGAGGAGTATTAGGTATATGTATTTTTAGATGTAATAGTGTATATATATATATATTGGGACAGAGCAGAGGAGCATTAAAAGAGAGAGAGAGGGAGAGAGATAGAAGGGAAAATTAAATAACCTCTCATGAAGCTGCTGCACTCCATTGCGTAACCTGCACAATTTTTGACCAATTCTTTACATTTATTAATTTTATAGTTAATGAATCAATCAAATCAGAGAGAAATGAAGCCTATGAGAGTTATTAGGAAAGTTTAGGGAAGATTCAAATCAATATAAGTAAGTAAGTTAGTTACCATGGCAGAGGAAGACCAGAGCTCGGGGTGAAGAAGATGGAACCCATCTGCAAGCGAACAACTCAACACCTCTCGAGTTTTTTATGTATTCCTGTGTATATCTAGTTAGTATATATATATATATATATATATGTAATTATGTAAGAACACGAATCAAGCAGAGAGGAACAGAGAATCTCTTTCGAGACAATAACTGAGCAGTAGTCAAGAGAGAGACTGAGATCAAAGAAAGACAGAAGAGACCTCCTCGTATTCGAATCTCAACTTCTTCATGCTTCCTCGATGATATTATTATTACTCCTAATTTATCTTAGATCAGAGCTCTATCTGCGTCTCATCAGAATATAAAAAGAGAGAGAGAGAGAGAGACGGAAAGGTGGTTATTATAAATTTATATTTTATTTCCTTTATAAATTTTATTTGGAACAGTAAAAGGAATTTTAATTTTCGTGGAAAATCTCAAATTAGATAAAGTTCTAGACATGATGGCTAGCTTGTTTTTGGGCTTGTGAATCATAAGCCCAATTCATTGGTACCAAATCTACCATTTGATATCGTCGGTATAATACCCAATTTAGTACATGAAGCCTTTTCGATCTTTTTTGAAAACTTTCTATTCACGATAAGAAAAAATTCAGTAGAATATTGAAGCCAAAGATAATTAATCCCAGCATTTTCTCTCAGAGGATTGATTATTTAAACTCTACAAGAAACCCGACGCGAAAATACGAATTGGATAGCAAAACTGCATAAAATCCTGAATTGTTTAACATCATCATCCAAAAAGAGAGAGAGCATAAAATATCGAAAATTAAACATGTATTCAACATAACACTAAACAAAACCATCTTCATATGTTTCATAACGACAACAAAAGAGACGCTTAGTTCATTCTCTGGGCAGCCTCCTTAGCAAGAACCCTCTCCTTTGCTTTTGTCTTGGCTTGTGACTTTGATCCCATTATGCCACCTCCCCACTTCTTCCTGTACTCCTCGTACTTGTCGTTGAAGTTTGCCTATTCACCCCAAACAAGACAAAACACGGTTAAGATATGGTCTCAGTCTCTATGCTCTCTTTTTCTCTCTACTATCCCATTGTCAAAATCAAATTCAGCTAATTTACCTTGATGGCCTCAAGGATTTTGCTGAACTCAAGCTTGTCCTCGTTCTTGACAGTGGTCAAGCACAAGGCAGCTGCAGTCTTCTGGTGAACGACCTGGAAGTAGAAGCAGGACAATGACCAATAATCAGGGCGGATGTTTAAGTAAAGAGAAACTCTAATGAGATTTGAATCTATCGAGTGTCAAATTACCGCTCCAAGACGAGATTTGCCCTTGACAATGCAGTAAGGGACTTCCATTTTCCTGCAGAGCGCAGGTAACCAGACGACCAACTCGATAGGGTCAACATCATGAGCAATGACCACAAGCTGTGCCTTGTTCTGCTCGATGAGGTAAGTCACATGGTTGAGTCCATACTTGACAACAATGGGCTTCTTGGATTCAGAAGGCTTTCCTTCGGCCTCAGATTGAGCCTTCTTCAAAAGGCGATCTTTCTTTGCAGCTTTGTCCTCTGGCCTGTACTTGAGAAGGATCTTGAAGAGATTGGTCGCTGCAAAAACAAATCCATGTTAAGCAACTGATCCTTGAAAAACAAAGAGAACAAACACATACATCTCTGATAACAGTAGCAAGGCAAGTTAGATGGGAATTAAAGTGGTTTGCAAAGAGACTTACCAAGATTCTTGTCAAGGGTCTTGGTGAACTGGTTAAGAGCCGGAGGAACCTTCAACCTCTGCTTAAGGATACGCTTCTGCCTTTGAAGACGGATGGATTTGGGCCATTTGATATAGCGGGAGAGATCCTTCTTAGGAGGCAAAGCTCCACCGATACCGAATTGCTTGGGGCGTCTCTCAAACAAAGGGTTGGTAACTTTCTCCTAAAGACACCACAAAATCTAATGAGAACAGTCGGAGAAGAGTAAGCAATGACAATGCTTCAGGGAAATGTTAAGAGCATACCGGTTTCTTCTTGGCAGCTACTTTCACTCCCCTCTTGGGTGCCTAGGCGGAAGAAACAGATCAAAAACAAACTCGGAAATAAGAATCAGAGACAGGACTCACTACATCATAAGCTATACGAAGAAACGACTAATTCGATGCATTCAGAGTGTAATAAACTACGAAACCAAACGAAGCCAGCACACTCGTGTACTAATTCTACGCTAGCATCCATGGAAATCAAGCAGTTTAATCCAGAACATTAATTTGAGGATTTTTACAATAGCATATAGATCTGAATCGAAGGAAACTGAGAAACCAAAAAAATGAATCAAACGGAGGAAGTGAAAGCTGAAAATGGAGTAAATCGGCGTACCATAGTTGTCGATTTCTTCTGGAGGTAGACAGACGGCTGATGTGAGGTGAAGAGCGGCAAAGCACTGGAATTAGGGTTTCGTGTTATCTCTATTTATAAAGGACTCCACACTTTTGCTAAATTACACTTTTGGACACCTATTAGATTATGCCTATTTTTTTGGCATCTCAAACTTAAAATGCTATTTTTAAGTATTCAATCACTAATGGTAGATACTAGATTTGATTATATGAGTGAATACTTAAAATTCACACACACACCATTCAAAATTACAATGGATATTTCTAATTAAAATCCTTAGGTGTAAAACAAGATGGCTATTGAAATTCAGTAATTTTGCTGTATGTTGCAAAAAGACATTATACACTCGCTATTTCACATTTAATCAGCACTGATGCAATTCGACGGACTTCGTGTGTTTTCCTTTGGAGTTACATGTATGTATACAGAGGCAATACCAAAATTGTGCTACATAGAAAACCCCCCCAACATTCCTCTACTGGCTCAGCCACCTAAATTCGAATTCCAACTCCAAGACCTTAGTTAGTCTTGTTTCGGCTCTGTCCTGGTGCTATTAGCTAAAACACTAAAAGCAGACACGAGTCCAGCCGTGCCAACAACATGAGCCCAGTTTCTTGTGCTAATAGCAACTGCTGCTCCAGCCACAGCTCCTCCTACCAAAGCATTCACCCAATCACTCTTGCCTCGATACCTTTGAAGCCCACAATGTGTCATAGTAAAAACACCACTTACAAGACCTGACACCGAAAACAAAGTGATACTGATGAGAAGCAATCACTTATTTGGAACCAAGTTTTAATTGAGAAGCAGTTCAAGCAATTAATCCAAAAACTTAGAGCTAAGCTAAATTTGCACAAAGATCATCATGATCTTCGAGGACAAGAAGTATATGCAGCATTCTAATGACAAGAAGAGTATCAAAGCCTAAAAGTTATAACAATCCTGTACCTAAATTCCATAGCCACTATTAACCTGATGTGTAAAACAAAAACAAAAACAAAAAAAAAAAACACACAGAAAGAAGCAGATTACCGCATTGAAATCCGAATCTGCCAATGGATTTCGCCTACACTAGTCAGAAACCCCAAGCTAGGTTAGTCTGAGAGGTAATTGCTCACATTGAAGAAAAAACAACAAAAGCAAGAGAGATTGGGTTACCACAAAGGAAGCCTGAGATACGCCGCTTAAACCTGATGAAGCAAATCATCAGCAACAACGCACCAATGACATGACTGAACTGAAAACTAGAATCTTAATTCAATGATTAGCTAATTTCGTTCGATACCTATTTTACGTGCGTCACGAGGTCCGGCGCAAAACCCATATAATCCACCGGCCTAAGCTTCAACAACCAGGAAACAAAAGAAAAATATGTTGAATATCTCAGACAGGTATAAGACATGACTCCAAATGGACATAAAGTATTACCGTCGCGACACGGAGAACTGATTCGACGGCGAGGGAAGAGCAAGGCACGGCGGAGAGCAGCTCTTCCTCCATCTCGATCCTCCTCCTCTCTGTACACAATTAGAACAAAACCCTTTTTAAGTTTCCGTACATTGAGAAACCAATATTCAATTACATACCGGTTTAGTTTGGTTTTGTCAAGAACCATTTACATATTTAAAATCCGATTTCTGATGATTCTTTTTTTTTTTGGTAACAACAAAACAAATGATCAAGGCAATAGCTTACACAAATCCAATTTTTCATATTCACAATCTAAAGCTTGAATCTTTTGTATGGAACATCATCATTCGTGCCATTGTTCAGAATGTTTCGCCGGCTCCGCTACATTCTCCGATCTCCGTCTACCTCCGTATGCGCCACCATGGCGTCAGACCTGATTTTCATACTTTTCCGTTTCTTCTCCCTTGTTTTGACACTCCGATTCATCTTCCCCTTGGAAAACGAACTCATGCTCAGATCCTTCTCTTTGGACTTGATAAAGACCCCTATGTCCGAACCTCTCTGCTCAATATGTATTCTTCTTGTGGCGACTTGACTTCTGCTCAGCGAGTTTTCGATGAGTCAGTCTCGAAGGATTTACCTGCTTGGAACTCGGTGGTTAATTCCTATGCCAAAGCTGGGTTCCTCGATGATGCGCGGACACTGTTCGATGAAATGCCTGAAAGAAACGTTATTTCCTGGAGCTGCTTGATTAACGGCTACTTTATGCGTGGCAAATACAAAGAAGCGCTTGATTTGTTCCGAGAAATGCAATTACCTAAACCAAACGAAGCTTTCGTCGAGCCCAACAAGTTTACATTGTCCACTGTCCTCTCGGCTTGTGGACGATTGGGTGCGCTCGAGCAAGGGAAATGGGTCCACGCTTATATCGATAAACACCAAGTGGAGATTGACATTGTCTTAGGCACAGCTCTCATTGATATGTACGCCAAATGTGGAAGCCTCGAGAGAGCAAAACGGGTTTTCACTGCCTTGGGGTCGAAGAAAGACGTCCAAGCTTACAGTGCTATGATATGTTGCTTAGCAATGTACGGTCTCACAGATGAGTGCTTCCAACTGTTCTCTGAGATGACCACTAGTAACAACAACATAAACCCAAACTCAGTGACATTTGTTGGCATTCTCGGTGCTTGTGTACATCAAGGTATAATAAACCAAGGAGAATCTTACTTTACAATGATGATTGACAAATTCGGTATCACTCCGTCAATCCAGCATTATGGTTGTATGGTTGATCTCTACGCAAGAGCTGGTTTGATCAAAAAAGCAGAGAGCTTTATAGCGTCTATGCCTATTGAGCCTGATGTACTCATTTGGGGGTCTCTCTTAAGCGGATCAAGAATTTTTGGGGATATCAAGACTTGTGAAGGTGCCCTCAAGCGACTCATTGAGCTAGATCCTATGAACAGTGGAGCCTATGTGCTTCTCTCTAATGTATATGCCAAAACAAGGAGGTGGATAGAAGTTAAGCGTATCAGACACGAAATGGAGGCAAAACAAAAATACCTACCTCTCTGAATTCTTTGCTAAAAACTATTAAACGATTTCTGAAGTAATTACAAATTCTCTCTACAGGTAAAGGGCATTAAGAAAGTTCCCGGATGCAGCTCCGTTGAAGTTGAGGGAGTGATTCACGAGTTTTTTGTAGGAGATGAGTCTCACGAAGAGACCGAAAAGATCTACGCCATGCTCGATGAGATAATGCAGAGGCTGAGAGAAGCTGGATTTGTTTCAGATATCAAAGAGGTTTTACTTGATCTTGACGAGGAACGTAAAGAGATGGCTTTGTCTTACCACAGTGAGAAACTGGCGATTGCGTTCTGTTTGATGAAGACAAGGCCTGGAACCCCAGTGAGAATCATCAAAAACTTACGAATCTGTGGAGACTGTCATCTTGTGATGAAGATGATCTCGAAACTTTTTAGTCGAGAAATTGTTGTGAGAGATTGTAACAGATTTCACCATTTTACTGAAGGGTCTTGCTCTTGCAGAGATTTTTGGTGATACAGTGACAACAATGTTTGTGTTGGATTAAAAATACACACATTACTGAATTTTGGAGATTTTGAAATCAAAGCCGAAAAATAAATAAATAGATAGGACAGCAAAATTCCCACTCATATATGTTTTTGTATAAAGATAAATATCCATCATCTTTGATGAACAATGTACAATTTATACATCGACGCCGCTGAAATAAGAGGAGGCATACATACATATACACTCAGTCGAGAATTTCCAGTAAAAACAAACATATTGTTTTAGCACTACAAGAACCAAAGTATCAGATCGAGAAGTCACCAGTGACTGAGAAAGCTCCTACGGCAGAGCAAGACGTCAAAACTCTATTTGTAACTTATACTATCTTTATCTACAAAAAAAAAGACAACACTGCCAGCAACAAATGGCCAATCAGAATTGAGTTTGTGTAAGCATAAGGTAACTTAAAAAAAATTGCAAAAAAAAATAATAGATGCAACTCTTTCGTACCTCCTAAAACTTAGAATGCTTATCACCAGAACAGGAAAACCTACTATAACTCCAACTCTTGTAATCTTATTATATATTTTCTTTGTAATACCCTAAATGGCTTATTTAGATGAGAACAGTTTAAGATCTGCAAATAAAACATCCAAATTAGATTAGCACAGACAAAAGAAGAGCTTGTTGAACCAAAAAGATATTGCAATTGATGTACCGATGACTGACCTGATACTGGGAGAACTATATTTCACTGTCATCGAAAGAGAAAATCCAGTACCAGAAGTTACATCTTCATTAAGTTACATCTTCGTTTCTCTGTATAATCCATACATGGCTCTTGGGTAATTGGTTGGGAAGGAAGCTTGTTATGATGTTGCTTATGTGAATTTTTCCTCGGTCGAATAAGAGAAGCATCTGAGTAAGTCAAATTCCAAGTTCTTTCCTTGGTCTACCAGAAACGTCTTCAAAGCGGACTCCGTCACCAAACTCTTCTTTGTATGTACAAATGACTACCGGATCCAAAGAAAATCTTGAAATGCCGTTTGTGAACGGAAATGGACCCAGAGTAGCAAGGCAACAGTGAAAAAGAGTTTGCCTCTTCTCAGTCTTTGTAAATAAGTAGCTTCATTTTTCTGTCTTTCACCGGTTATTGGCCTTCATTGCAAGCTTCACTAAATATAGAAATCCCTCCATGTCTTGAAAGTTATAATCAAGGGCGCTTTTAATGGATAAAATACCCTCTCCTTGTTGTTGGGCTTCCCCCGAGTTTTCAATACAAGCTGCTAGTGCCACACGTGATTTCCTTGAGGCATCCATTGCCAGATTTACATCCTGAGCCTACAAACAAAAGAGAGTATGAACTTAATTATTCACACTGGCCAATGTTTATGACTTTTCACGTTAATTGCATATTCATCTTCGATTCAATTAACAAAATAAACATTCAAGTATAGCTGTGGGAAATGACTTGCAAGAGGCATTAGTACACTTACAAATTGAAGCAGACGTAAAATATTAGAGCGGTTTTGCGCAGAAATGACATGGTTCCCCGCAACTAAAGGAGAGCTGATGCCCCTTGAGGTGCCTACTCTGTCTGCTGCTGCTGGATGGTTCACATTATCGACATCTGAGGCAGAAGATGAAGGAGACTCACCTAAAATGCAAAGACAAGAGCATTATAACGGGAAAGAATTTTTAAGACATGGCTAATAAGGGATTTGGTTATTTCCAACTTAGCTTACCTGGCGGAACCATTTGCAGAGAAGTCTGCAATTCATTTCGATATCTATTAGCACTTGTGTAGGAGGAATTAACCACTCTCATATACGCGACCTCCATGCATTTGTAAGCCAGAGCAGCGGCTCCCATATCTTTAGACTTCTCATATTCATGGGCACAAAATCTATCACGAAAAAAGGTTTCAATGCTAACAACTGGGAAAGAAGGAACAAATGTAATTTTTCTTTTTTCCTCACAAATGTAAATTACCCGCAAAGATTCGCTGTGCTACTATAAATCTTCATAGATTGGACCATTGTCTCTCCTTGTCTAGCACTCTCATTGCTACTCAGCTCCAAGACAAAAGCACCATGAAGAAACTTAAGGCAAGCCTGGAAGTAAAGCTCAATGTGCTCAAGGTTCGATACAGAATTCTGCAACAACAACAAAAGAAAGACCATAAGAAGCGAATACAAAGAGAAAGAGAGATTACACTGAAACTGAATTATGAGAAAAACCTTGAGACGGTCAGCTGTATGTTTCAAGTCTTTAGCTTCTTTTAGAATATGGGCGGCCTGCACAGATGTTACTTCCTTTCGTAAGGGGCTTGGAGAGGGCTCGCTTTTCCTTCTTATTTGGGCTGTTGTCTTTGTCACATCATCAGCTTGAAGATTATTATTTCCAGCTGATGTGCTGCATTTATCGACTTTCTTACGGACAGAAAGCATAGATGAATCCCCTTGGACACCTCTGGATGGTGGCCTTGATGGTGAAGCTAAATCTGCTCTATCTCTATTACCCCTTTCTGATATTCTTTCGGAGTCATAAGGTTTTGGAATGTTTGGTCTCACGACCATATCTGCTCTACTGTCAGGACTACCATCGTATATTTTCTTTTCAACATGTCTTGGACCATCCCGTAAATCAGACCTGATGCTTTGGTTCTTGTCTTTGGACCGAGAAGATGAACCTTTTCCTGGCTTCTTTGCCAATGAATCGTTGCTACGTCGATGATGGTCACTAGACTGCTTTCCTTCACCAACAATATGATCCAGTTTTCGCGGTAAATCCTTGTGGCCACCATTCTCATAATTAGCATCGAGAGAAGGATCAACACGCTCTTTGGCTTTCAAAGCTCCTTTATCATCCCAAACATCAAGCACAGAAGACTCATGGGATCCATGTTTGTCCTTCATCCGCGTTTGCGATCTATCACTCCCACCATCATCTTCACCTTCACCATCTGAGAATCTTCTCAAACTACCTGCTGCAAAGACGTTAGCATCAGAAGATTCTTCTTTCTTCTTTCTCGCAGATATACTTTTCTCCGGGTTGGAAATCCTCATAGGAGAGGAAGACACCGACT